AATTATTTATTGTTTTGATAAAGTGTAGTTAAAAGTTTAATCGATCTAACATCTTGCTTTTATTGTTTGATTGCTTTTTTGCATAATAAAGCTTTTCATATTCTTTAAGAAAAATATAAAGCTATAGAGATATTAAAGCCGTAAAGACTGCTATGCTCTGCTATATGGTGAACTATCATACAGTTTTTGTATACATTGCTTGCAATGTATACATACATAGTTATAAGCTAAATTTCCACTGGCGTTACAGGTTTAGCCTCTACCGAACAACACCCACTTCCGGATAAAAACCGCTATAGAAACTAGTTCTTCATTCTGCAGTATTGTTACATTCCAACTACATATCATTAAAGTATATCGTTCATTTTCATGAAATAATACATTCCTTTTAAGGAACAATAATAACAGTTCATTGATAAAATTGTAGTATATACTTACGCGTTAAACTTCGCATACACGCATGTGCATGCAAGCAGCTGAGCATGAGTCATTACTTTGTAAATATAGTAAAGTCGTCAGAATTATATAAATGAGACGGAACATCTATGATAGATATTTAATCAAATAAACATTTTTTTAACTCTGGCCATTATCGTGGCTTAAAATAGAAAATTCGTAAGCTATTTTTTAAATACCTTTTTACACATGATTTTCCTTTCATTTTTGTATGCCTTAGATTTTTGAAACGAAATTTTTTTCGAAATTCAGCGCGATTCAGTAACGGATAAAAAATAACGATGCGACCATTCGACGAATAACAATTCTTCGAACTTGGAATATTGGCGATTAAGACAGAGCATGGAGCTAAATATAGGATATGTGGCCAGAGTCGATGATAAGAAATAATCATTTGAAACTAAATGTGAATCAGCGCAAGCATTATGAAATAAATACATTAAACTTATAATCAGAAAACAGGAAAATGAATTATCTGTATATATTGATTAATGTATAGTTCTGATCATAGTTTCCAGTTTTGTTCTGTTAATTCTGTTCTGGTTGAACTACTGCAGATTAGTTTAAAACTTCATACATGTCCTTTATAAATATAATGGTTCAATATTCAAAATCTATACATGTGAACTTTTGTATAACATGACTTTGACTCTAATCAAGTCAATTTGAACTAGAACTATCGCTGAATGCGATTTATACATACCCCCACCAATATCTTTGACAGAAGACGACTTGGAAAGGTCGTTAAGGGAATAACTTTAGTGACACAAATACATATACATAAAAAGAAATTATCTCTGGTGAAAAAAGACAAATTGTACAGGTAATAGTATAAATTTATATTGTCAAATCATGTTCGAAACAGTTACAAATAACCTTTAATTTTCCCAATGTACTAAAACAAACAAAATCAGTGAAGTTAAGGAAATAGCATAATTATATCAAAATGTAATTAAGAGTAGAAAAACTTTGCATACTGAGCTTACTTGTGACCCTTCAAACATTATAAAGTTTCAAGTGAATTTTTGTTCTGATTTAAGAAATATTATAGTAAATAGATATAAAGACATAAAAATGGACTTAACTTTGTCAAAATGCAATCCCAGTTTTTTTATCTATGAAACTTGACCTGCATATCTTACTTGCGACACTTCGTATATATTTGAAGTTTCAAAATGATTATCTGTTCTAGTTTTAGAAATATTCAAGTACATGTTAAAATTTCAGAACATTTTTTAAGTCAATTTTTGACCTTCAAGTGTGGCCTTGACCTGGCACAAGGGTAATATGGATTCTGTACATTGCCCAGTTGGGGTGAACATTTGAATCAAGTTTGAAGAAAATCCTTCCATTAGTATAGAATTTATAGAGCAGACACGACATATTGTCAGGTATTGACTGTATGTAAGTTAGTAAGTAAGTAAGTAAGTTAGTTAGTTAGTTAGTTAGTTAGTTAGTGTGTTAGTGTGTTAGTGTGTTAGTTAGTGAGTGTGTTAGTTAGTTAGTGTGTTAGATAGTGTGTTCCTGAGTTCTCTTGACGGGCTATTATTTGTTTATCTTAGCTAAGGGATCTTTATCTTCTGACTAACTGACAAACTAACTAACAAACAAACTAACTAACTAACCAACTAACTAACTAATTAACAAACTAACTTATTTACTTACCAACCAACTAACTAACTAACTAATAATCATTCTTTAAATTAATTTACATCCTGTAAAATAAATCATTTATTATGGTTGAAAATTTAGAAATTATTGAAGAGTAGATGGATTTCGTAAGCATGACGTCTATAAGAAAGTATCATGAATAAAATAATATTTTAAATGAATAAAAAAGCTTAACTCTTTCCTAGTTACTGTAGCACAAAAGCGCTGAAAATTGTTTCCTTGAACGGCTTTCAGCGTTATTCATTCTTGCCGATGAATGGCTGTCGATGTTATCATTAAAAAGAGGGGAACGGCTGATGACGTTACTATAATTTTGATGACACTCAAACTTAAATACCTTATAACTTTATCAGAAAAGCATTTTTGAAGGTATGGTTTGGTATTTTAATGACGAAATGTTGACGTTTTTACGAATCGTTTGATAAATAGAGGATATTGAATGAGTGTAAGTTCAATACTGAATTTATTGCACGAGTTGAATAAAATTATATTATGCGAGCCTCTGGCGAGCATAATATTATTTTATTCAACGAGCATATATCTTGACGTGAAGTTAGCGTTATACAAACATAGTGTAAAGACGTGCTAAATGTTAGCGTTATACCATAGACGCGTCAATGAAAAATGACTCTTATTTCACTTTAAACGGTCTTTATTTTGGGTATGTGATAAATAGAATATTAAATTCGTGTAAGTTCATTACTAAATTTATTGCACTCGTTGAATAAAATAATATTATTCTCGCCAGAGGCTCGCATAAGATAATTTCATTCAACTCGTGCAATAAATTCAGTATTGAACTTACACTCATTCAATATCCTCTATTTATTATCATGAACAAATATAACATTTTGTGACTTAAAAATAAAAATGCCGAATCTCATCGGATAGTGTGGTTATTTTCAGTCAAAATTCACGTGAAGTAAAGCTTGCACAGGGCCAGAAATTTGTTAGTATGCTCCTTTGGATGTTGACTATGAATCCATAACTTCGAATTACGCGAACACAGTTGGGATACGTTCAAAATAGATGAGTACTTACCGTCCGTCAATTGTGTTCGTGCGCCGACATGTATATACTGGTACAGCTGACGACGTCTGAACTGCTGTCTGCCCATTTGATTGTACGGTGTGAAAGCGTCGTCAGCGTCTCTAATTTTCCTTTAATATGTCCTGTGGTATTTGTTAATGAATGAGATTTTTTTTATAAAAAATCGCATTGTAAACCAAAGGAAAAAACAATATTAGGAAAACATTTTTATAATGATGGCGACGAAATATTCCATAACATATATTTTAATTTTAAAACTGACATTTTCTGAAAGCTTGTGAAAACCTTCGTTTTTGTGTGTATACTACCTGTGTAGTATTTCTAATAATATATGAAATGTACGCCCAAAAGTAAGGCATATGCCTGCGCCAGAGACCATGACATGGAAAATATTTCATTATAAACTTTTATAATACATCAAGAGATGACAGTGACACGGAAACCGCCAGTATGACCGACACTACCGCTGAAATCTACTAGTGAATTCATTGATTTTTGTTATAAACACGCAGTACTTTTTATGATTATTTTATGAAATAGATAAAACACTATTTAAAGGGTATCCTAAACAAGATGCACTGAAACGATTTCAAATTAATTCTTGTAAGTAAATTAAAAAAAAAATAAATGAAATAATAAATAAAAATGTGTATCTTTACAACGTATTGTTGGTTAGGAATAGAACCAGAGAACTTCATATCGGTAGCCCGGCATCTATACTTATACACCACATCTCACTGAAGACACGTCGATATATTCGTTCGATACAAGGACCTTTACGAAACTTAATGAAGTACCAGGTCAATGTTGTTTCGCAAAATATAATGAATAAACCCATAAAAACATTGTTTCATTAAGACCTGCAATCGGAAACTTAAAGTCTTAATTCTTTATCACCGAGGGTAGTTAGGCAAGTGTTATGTCGATAAATTTAAATTATACATAAACTATGTATCCCGTTGTTATACTTTAAAATCCGTCTGATTTACTTCGGTATCCGACCATAACAGATAAAAGGTTATTGAATGTTCAAATATCTCAGGTCTCATGCGAGTATCGCATTTCAATAAACCCAGGTAGCGTTTTCTGAAATCGTATTGACCCGTTAGATATGATGTTCTTTTCCGAAAAGAAAAAAAAACAAACACACAACGTGGAATACAACTTCACGTGCAACAAACATTTTGAGGGTAAATAAAATGGATTTATAAATCGGTATGTATAATGCTTGTTAATTTTTATGGCGAAACGAATGAGCGAAATGAAATTATTCTGCAAGTTAAACGCTGTTATGTGTCCGTGCACTGAAGGTGAAATATTCTGGTGATACAAACAAACACTTTTGACATGCAAAATGATTATGCAAATACATGTATACTTTAAGCAATGAAAGAGCTCATGCAATATTGATTGTAGTTATTCCGCATGAGCTATGGCATTAATACATTTTATTGCATGTTTTTAATAGACAGTTAAATCATATTTTGATAATTTCGCATTAAAAATATAAAATATCACTTTCACAGTAGCCGGACTATATTTGACTATCTCAGAGCCAGATCCCATCTCTCTGCCATTTAATGTAGGCAGATTCTGTAGTTTTCTGTCAAATATCACTTTGACATGTTATAGTAAGGAAATCTTCAGCTGCCATATTCCCAGCTTGTTTTGTTGCTTCTATTGCAGGTCTGTCAGCATTATCATTTTTTATGCCAACATGACCAGGAGTCCAACCGAAATAAACTGTAACACCAGCCAGTTCAGCAAAGAAAACAAAACGTCTGTGAAATCGATATCACATGCAAAACAAACAAATATCCCCTATATATTTTGGTTTATTTCACATGAAGAAAGCTTAACCTTTTACATGAATATATAATTGTACATTAATTTTGTACAATGTTAAAGTTGTGATTTCATACCATATTAAAGTAATAAGCAAGTCAGAAATTAACAAAAAATCAAGAGATATAATTTGTTTTTATGTACACTGTTAAATCAGTTCTGTAGATTACAATACCAGTTCTGTAGATTACAATACACACTTAATAGTCTTATCACTTTAAAAATACAAATCTAGAAAATAGGAAAATGTGCATACGATCAAACAAATGACCACATTTCCAATTGAAATCCGATCCACGTGTCTGATAATGTAACGGACATAAGGACGCACATTAAAATCAAGTCGATTATTTCAAGCCAGTTAGCTTAATAATTTGTTATAGATTTTAACAACCGATTTGATCAAATGCCAGTGTCATTGTTAAATCGAAAAAACCCCACAAAAGCAACAAAAAACTAATGATATATCTTTCCATCTTAAAAGTCTGAATGGGCATTATTGTGATATAAAACGCTATTAATATTGTAATTGAAAATGTTACATTACTTAATCTATTCACGTTATATATCATGTGTTAGAATATTATAAACTTTAATAAGTTGGTTGAGCGGATTTTGTTTGTCAAAATTGCTGGAGACCCGGATGTTTAACCAAACCAATTTTAAATGTACCCGAAGAGAACAATAGATCAAGATAGAATACATTGATACTCCTGTCCGACTGCTTTAAAATATATAAAAATCAGTCAGAATGAGCAGCCTGCATATAAAAAAAAAACGGTGACAATTTTTTAACATCAGCAGTAACATCGAGTATATCCCGTAACGCAAGAATGAGAAATAACACAGACATTGTGCAATATTGCGTAACGCTGAATCTATGCAATATATGACTAAACGCAGTTATTTTACAGGAAGCACAAACGTCTGCCTAGACGTTTATTTTAATCTGCATTGCAAATACGCACAGAAAGATATGATTCATGGGAATGACAATCTGATTGTTACACATGTCGCAGATTTTCTGACCTTTCTTCCAAAATACCCCTCGTCTATCAAGCAAGTTAGTTAAGTTTTATATTAACATTGTACAAAGTATGTGTATGCAATTCTCATCATCATCATCATCATCATTATCATCATCATCATCGCCATCGTCATAACCATCAGCACCATCGTGCATTACCACGACTATCGTATTACAATATTCATTAATATTACACCTCTTGTAAACGTTTTACTATATAGCCCAATGTGACAAAACATAGTGTTATTTCGAATCACCCCGTCAATATATTTTTTTCAGGGGCGTGTAATCTATGTAGACTTAAGAATACCTATGTTCTAGTTCTCTCCCCTGATAAAATCAATGATGAATGACTGCACAGCAGCGAATGTTGGTTCGGTATAATAAAATAAAATAACACACGTCTCCGCCTCGGGTGTTATTTCAGTTCTCGGGTTGTACTTACATGTACTATTATCCTGAGAGACATGTATTATTTTTATAATATGTATATAACATCATCATCATCATCAACATCATGATTTTTATCATAATCGATGCATCATTGTCATCACAATTATCATCACCACCTGCACCAATTTAAAGGACCTTGCAGAATTGGTGCGACGTAAAACCAAACAAAACACCAAGTGTCATCTTGTGTCAAGTGTCACACCACGAAACCATCTATCACAGTCGTGGATTACACACAACGCAATATGTCTTAATAATTGGCAGCAACTATTATTCCAAACGTTTTTTTCCCATAGGGTATTAGACAATACAAAAAGATAACCAGAAGGAAACATGGAAACGACAACAGTAGAGCCGTTGTTACAATTTTGTTACGACAATGTCTTTGAAACCAATATATCAGTAGATTACATCCACTGGTTCTTAATTCCAGCCGTAAGTAAAAACTACCGTGCAGTTATATTTTTCTGTCAGCAAAATGTAGGTCGATGTCATATATACAGTTTTGATGCATGTTATATTGGAACCTATAACGTGTGGTTGCAGTGATGCACCAACTCCCTTGTTTTTCGGTTTCTTCACTGTACCGAACAAAAGAAATAATTTGCTGTGAAGAGTTCACTTTTCGTGAGCATCCCAAAAGCGGCGAGGGGACATAGGTTTAGTTGATTCGTAACATTCGATTCTTTTAAGACATAAAGAGTGACAATTATGTCAAATCAACAAGAGTCAAATTTATATCAAGTTTACTGCTTTACTTTTTTATAAGAGAAGGGTAGTGATATAGTGGTTCAATTCATCTTGTAATGCTCAACAGGATGCATTGAGGTATAAAGTTAATAGCTTGCCAATGGGATGGGTGGTGCAAAGGTCCGGGTTGAGATAAAATTTATTTTTGTTCCTTATTATTTTATGAATCTATTTTTGTCTATTGTTTTTTAGCCTTGGACAGAAACATTTGTGAACTTAAGGGTTACAATGTTACAATTAATTAAATATGTATGTAATCAATTTACTAGTATTGCTATGTTAAGGTTGCGAAGTATTTATACAATGCATTGAATTGCCACTCACATGGTTTATACACATTAGGTTGCCATCATGCTGCTATTGTGTTTTATGGAGAAGAGAAAGACATTCAAACCCAACATAATGGGAGGCCGTCCCGCTGTTGTACGGTATCAAACCTTAAAATTACATTATATATTTGCAGAATTTGTTATCGATGAATGTGTCATCAACGCAGTTAAATCATTTTGTGATTTACCTGTATGACAGACTAATTGGGGAATTAAACATATGGGTTCTATTATGCATTATTCATACTAGAAGAATATTAATTTGTACTTAATATTTTCAGTTGAAAATATATTTTCTTCTTCGCATTATTCCCATGTGTATAATTTATATGTGTTCAAATACTCATTAATATATTAGAGCGCATTTAAGTGCGTTTTAAACAAAACATTTCCATATGTATAGACCCCTTCTGTTTTTGCTCCTTAGGGTGCAATAGAAATAGTGATATTAATAAAATAATCCGTCAGCATTTTACTGTGAGTTTTGAGAAATTGAACATTATGAAGTTTAACAATGTTACCACTGTACCATTTAACTTATTCTTTAGGTACATTCTCCCTGCTTAATACTTTGTTCTTGTTTTTACAGGCCACTCGGATTTCTAGACGAGCCTGCTAACCGCTGGGGCGTTATGTTTGTATTTGGCTCTGTGACTGGGAATGTTATACAAATAGCACAGAAAGCGGTCTCTGATGAGCTAAACTGGCCGATTTGGGCAAGAAGTAAGTTAATAACCTCTAGAAATTGAGCATGCATATATATAACTGAAAAATGTTTAAATGTTTACATTTGATTGATTAAGAAAACGTTTTTAAGCCGCTTCTCGTATAACCTTTTAACTGTTCTCCACTTTGATCTATTGAAAAAATTAATATGGATACAATATAAAAATTTGGCTCACTTGCTTTTTTAATATTTATTATAAAGAAATTCACTTTTATTTTAGAAACCCGTCGTTTGCCTCGAAAGGTAACTGGGTTTATTCGTGTGTTCGATGTTTAGTCAACACCACTTTTTTGTGTCTTGGTCAAAATTGACATTTTATACACATAAACAGAAAAAGTTTTCATGCAAAATATTAAAGAATGAATGAATAAATAAATAAATAAATAAAAAAATAAAATAAATGACTCATGTCTGCCTAAATGCAAAAATCATCATTTTCCAAATGTTTTGTGCTTTATAATAATTTAATGTTACTAAGGTAAAGAAAAAGTTCGAATATTTAAAAAAGATTCATGTAACATTTCTAACCAAAATGAGTCTGTATATAAAATATATTTCAGTTTTTATGGTATACATTTTATGTCTGGAGACTAGTGTTGTATGTTACCCCTTATTTGCCTGTATGACGACTCGTCATAAATTGGTTGGAGCTATAGCGGGACTTCTTTACTCTCTAGGATGGTAAGTTTTTCAAGAGTGAATGAAGCTAGTTAATATTATTATATCTAACGCAAAACTTTACAGAAAAGTTAATAACAGTTTCTGGATGGGGAATGATATTTAAATTGTTTTTTTTTATTTCATTACACATATCAAATTCTGTCATGGCCTGCTATGTTCAACTAGACTAACTGTAACAAAACTGAACTAACAATTAAGATTACTCATATCCTTACACTTGAAAAGTTATTTGCCTTTATTCTCTGGGTACATGTTGGTATATACTTGTCATAAAACAAACAACAGACTGTGTGTCGTTTTGAAACAAAAGCACAAACCCATTGATACGGTTATTGGCTGGATTAAAGCTAATAAGCTAATCTCATCAAATTTCTCTCTCAAGCTTGTTTCATTTAGTGTTTCAGCCGGGTCAAACCCTAAAAGGATCATTAAAAAAAACAGCACCAAAGTGCAGAAATAGAGCACCAAAATGGAGAAATAAAGCGCTAAAGTGAAGTAATAGAGCACTACAGCGGAGAAATAGAGGAGTAAAGTGGAAAAATAGAGATGCAACCTGGAGAAATAGAACACCACAATAGTGAAACAGAGCACAAAGTGGAGAAATAGAACACCAAAATTGTGACACAGAGCACAAAGTGAAGAAATAGAGCACCAAAATAGTAAAACAGAGCACAAAGTGGAGATACAGAACACCAAAATACTAACACAGAGCACAAAATGGAGAAATAGAGCACCAAAATGGAAAATTGAGCACCAAAGTGGAGATCTATTCGGTTAAGTGCACACTTTAGATTGGGTTGCTCTTTACGGCGAAAACATGCCGAATTGGGGGTTCACGTGATAAAAACTATAATATTAAGAATGACAACAAAATCAGCTACTGCAATCGACGAGAGAAGGATAAGGGGATTTTAAACAAAAGAGGCAATTACTAATGTACTTTCCTTATAAACAGATGGTTTAAGGTATGCTCTCGGGCAGGGTTTCACGTTTTGTCATAGAGAGGCCTATATATTTATTGAAATGAATTAAACACTCTTAATAATTTGGTTGATTGATCCCACACAGTAGGGGTTATTTGCGTTTCTAAATTTAAAGAGAACATGTATCGTAACTCAGGACGGACCACTGTGAGACTGACAAAAAGGAAACAAAATAGAAAGATGTTCTCACAAGGTCAGTATTTAAAAATGATATAAAATGAACACTCTTACAATGTCATATAATTTTGGCAAAGACAGATTGACACAGAGATGCGGACGGGTCCTTATGAAGATAAATATACATAAAGGTGGACAAATGGAGAGACAAACGGTAAAAGAATGGACGGACTAACATATAAACATACTGACGGATACAGAAAAAGTATTTTTTTGCAAACACAAACAAATTATATTACTGTTGTTTCAAAACATTTTATCTTGTCGTCATGTTAAAAGGGATAATGCTATATCTAATGAATTTTTTTTTTATAAAATCTATTAAAAACAAAAGATATGTTGCTTCCATATCATTATCTTATAGTTAATTGTCGAATAAATTGTCATGTAGAATGTATTTGTTATTAAACACACATTTAAATTACACGTTAATATAGGATAATGTTCCAAATAAAACTGAAATCGATTTAACTGTTAATTAATAATTTTGTGCACAAACTATCCGCTCTTAAGAAAATAAACGCACATATTTCTTTCAGTCAGGTATTTTTGAAGTATACTTTTTCAAAATTCAAAAGTTTTTAAACTACAGGCAGCAGCTATATAGCTAGAAGGTCGATTTCCGACAAAAGCAACATTACAAAGTTGTTGAGTGCTAGTCGGTGGAAACCATCAAAAAGAGATCCCCATAGTTCTACACGGCAAAGATTACGAGACGTGCATCCTTGGTGCTTCATTTGAAATGATCCTTTAGGGTGTGACACCAACACACTAAGTTTGCATGAATTTGACAATTATTGCTTAGTCACGGTAGCACAGTTTGATTAAAAAAACTAAACATGTCAAGGTCAAAAATAAAACGAACTTATTTAAAAATAAAGTAGAGCAGAGTTGAAACTTTATTTTACAAAAACATTTTATGTTTGTGTCGATCGATGGAAGCTCTTTTGTCCGGACAGTTTATATACAAATTCCTTATTTACAACTGTTAAATTGGACCGTTTAATTGAAATCCTGTGCATGCGCAGTGAAGAAATAAACTATTGACCTGTCAACATTTTTAACTGTTTAATCTCTGTAAGTATGTTGTTGTATTATATACTATAGTTTAATTGCAAAGCATTAGGGAATAAAACATTTATTTCATGGGTGTTTGTCCCTCAGTATCAGGGATGACATTTGGAACTGTTGCCTTCGGTCTTAGGCATCTGGCAACAGTTTTGACTGTTCCACGAAAACCCATAAAATAACTGTATACTTTTTCGCGCCAGAAAAAGGTTTGAAAGATATTGAGAATTGAACAAATATTTGCGTACATTGTAGACATGTTGGTACAGGGTTGAATAAACGTGCTGTCATTATACAACATTAATATTGTTGAAAAGCTTTGTGAAAACGAATAGTTAGAAACAAATTAATTTTTCAATATTTTCAGTAATTTTTTTTTCTGCGAAAAATAATAAAGATTTTAATAAGAAACACGAATCTTCAACTGCTTGCAATGCGGGTATCTCGCATCTTAACCATTATTATATGTATCTTGAAATTATTAATGCGAACTTTACGTGCATGAAATATAATATATCAATTAAATGGTTCTTCTTTTGAATTTTAAATTATCTATGTAAATAAAACATTTATTAATGCATTGTGTTGTTTTTGATAGGTTTACATTAGAGATGGTTCGAAATGTCGCTATTGGAATTTGTTTTGTGAAGTATGTAGACCCCCAAGTAAGAACATAAAACTTATTATAGATGAGACTTTAGTTTCTTTACTTACTATTACATAACTTCGTGTAAGTTTTTGTTTCTTTCATTTACATTTTCCTGCTTGTCAACTTCGAGACTCTGAGATCGCAGCATAAGATTAATTTGAATGGATGTACTGTTTTATTCTTCCAAGCAGGCCCAAAATTAATAAATCATTATAATATATCATCAATAACATAAACAGCACTATTAAGTCATAAAAATATTTCAAATGACATAATTGATACAATTCTTTTTTTTCCAGAGGGACATGAAGATGTCGGCACATATTCTGATACAAGAAATGCCCGTGACAATTTGTAATTTTCTAGTAGTGTTGAAGTTTTGTTGGAAACTTTACAAATGTTTAAGGAAAGGAATTTACAAAATAAGCCACGAGGTAGCTACAGTAAGAGTAACTTTTTGTTGTATCATATTTTTACCTCGTTAATGTACATAAGTCGTGCGTGTGCAGCTTTTATGCATGTCCACTAATCAAGGATGGGCATCAGAGAAATAACAGGGATAAGCATTAAAGCTTTACTAGGCTTATCTTTGGACAAAAAGTGTATTGAAATCTATAAAATTCCTACTGAACATGTCTCATTGGAGTGACAGAGAGACTGCACAAATTATGTTTTAGTAGCTTCATTCCGTATTGCTGGTCAAATTAATACATTTATAGAGATACCACTAAAGTTTAAAGATTTATTCATTGTTTCTTTACAAGAACTTAAGGAAAAAAAGAAAACAAACAAAACAAAACAAACAAAAAACTTATACGGATTTTACAATTTATCGATTTAGATTATTTTACATTTACGTTTTCTTAGGAACACGTGAAACTATGTAAATCATATCACCTGACATACGTAAAACATCTTCTGAACAAACGATCCTTGGACAATACTAACGAAACGTAAGTACAAACTAGAATCACGGTGTTTTTTATACATATATATATATATATATATATATATATATATATAGTCAATTTCTTCAAAACATACATTGCGTTATTTTGTGTAGTGTGAACAACATGTAGTTTAATTTGTTTAATTTTTAACTTTCATTGTATTTCCATTGAATCACATATAAAGAATAAGAATAAGGTCTTAAGTGTGATTTCCTTTTGCAGATGGAGTAGTTAAAACCCCATTTGACCCTCCGTGTAATATTTCAGACAATACAGGGCACCGGTATAGAACAATTGTATCAATGTTTGAAGACCTTTCTGTTGAAAATGTGCCAGAGTTAAATTTTATACATATACATGCACAGGGTGTTAACTGGTGTGCAGGTATTAGTCACCCACACTCTAAAGCATGCCCATTGATTGGCACATTTTTGGAGGTTTATTTATTGTGAAGACCGAGAAAGGGAAGGATAGTGATAAATATATTTAGATGCTCATTCACTGGTTACTTTTTGTTTTGGGTTTTATATAATGACAACAGGGAACGTGTTTTTATTTTTTCCTATGATGCAAAAGAGAAAGAACATCAAAACACTCAGCAATCTGATTTATTATCTTGGGCTATGCCCCACCTCTCGTAAAAATCAGATAACCTCGTGATTCAATACTCTTTCTATTACTTGACTTCACGAAAAGAACTGGCAGGCTAATAGCGTCATCACATGATGTTATTTTAGTCTCTGTCGGGATTAGAACCTACGAGATCAAGGGCAAGAACTTCGGAGTAAGTGACTCTTCACTAACCACTCCATTTCATAGTTCTTTCAGGAACTCAGTAAACAGAAAAAATGATATGACACTAAACATTAAATCAATTTCATCAAATTTTGTCGATTATTCACTTTCAAACAAATACACACTCTTTAACATTGTAGGTCACTATGCTAATGTATGCTAAGATTGTCATTTTCTAATTATTCTTTAACAAATTATTCAAAGCTTGACATGGAAGCAAAAGATACATCGGAAGATTATACGACCTGTGCCAGGATTCAGATTCCCCATTTCCATCACGATAACATCATTTATGTCTGGTGTGCTACTGTACATGGTATGTGGGATTTATTATAGCAGCATGCCCACACATTCAAGATTATTTTCAGGAAATTTGAGTAAAATATTGTGAAGTGAACAAAGAAAGTAATTTACACATACAATCTACGCTTGCAAAGATGATCGTTACTGTGTTAGTGACGCAGTAGAAATATGTTGATAAATAATGAAAACTCAGTTATAATAGCACATAACATGTAAATTATTATTAGAATCATGAATCTTTTTACTTTTTTAAATTTTAGAACAATATCTTAGTACATTTTCTCAAGTTTGATTGTCTTGACATATTTGCTCATCTGTAGTCATGTAACTTTAAGATAAAGTTTGATGTGAACTCTATAGTATGTCAGCTTCCCTCATGTTAGAAAACGCCTTGAAATTTACGCTGTACCCGAATCGCTTGAAGTTAATGTATTTCAACTTTTACATATTTAAATTAAGGATAAGCTCAGCAGGCCAAGTTTTGCCACCATTCATTGCAATTTCATTTTTTTTGTGTGTCTGTATATTTATGCCTGTGTGACTTTTTACTTAATCGTGTTTTTGTCATAGTAAATCGAAATAATGTAGGTACAATTATATTTCAACCTGTCTTCACGTGATTTGATGCTTCAAAATCTAATTAATACTGTAACTAGTACATTTAAAATGGCTTGGATTTTATTGACTCCTTTTTTTACCTATTTACGAAAATTTATTTGTGTATGCAACATTGCTGCTGGTATTGATAGTATAAGGCTATAGTTCTTGTCTCTTATTCAATCATACGAGGGTTGTTCAATATATAATGAGACTGTTTTCATATCTTTAATTTGATACATTCAAAGGTTAGGCCTATATACAATACAAATAACAAAGTCCATTCATTTTTGACTACAATCTGAAAATATTAAAGTAATCCATAAAACAGTTTTAAAGTTACGGAATCTATAAGAAGGTCATGTTTGCACTAGCACTTCCACACAACAATATGTCGCGTCGTCAGCGACGTTGTCCGCACAGTCAACATCGATATGATGTCTTATCACATTCAGAGCTTTTCAAAATATGCTCCCGAATGCAGAAAACATCTTTGATGGCGTGCAACCCACTAATTGATGATAATGTCTTCAAAGCTCTCACTTGTTGTGACTTTATGATACCATTTACGGAAGTCTGTAGGTCTTTCAGTGTGTCAAATCGATGGGACTTTCAATTGAAGTTTTATATTAGGTAATATGGCGGAGTCAAACGGTTAAAATACATAATTATATTGTATTAAGACAGGTATTTACGCATAAAAATTGAAGCAGGAATTATAAATGTTCAAATTCTTATTTTTCATTATGCTTTTTATTTTGATCCAAAACGCTGATATGTTATATTTAAATTACTTAACTTCTATTAGGATTATTCAACACTTAAATATTTATTTACTTTTCTCGTGCTTAAATCTTTCGTCAGTATGCAATGCACAGTTCCTATGCTTACATTGGCAATTTACGCAAGCTCCCGCACCTTTAAACGCCTGTCCGTATCAAGCGCTGACTGAATTGACGAGACGCTTGACGCTTTCGCGGACTTTTTCCTGCCGGACCTATGTTCTTCATTCAGAGGTGAGTGTCCCTCAGAAAACTTTTTGTGCCACCTTAATACTAATGTTCGACAAACACTGTCTTTCTCCTTAGCCTTTGGCAACATTGTTAATGTTCGTCGCCAATTTACCTAAATGCAATCAAACTTAATGTTCGCCAGCACCTGACGTCCCCTTTGCGTCATAATCTTAACGTGACAACGTGTCAGGGTAACCGTCAACAAATGTTGCTTACATCACCAAATGACATTATGTTTTCATATGACATCACTGATATAATGTACAAACGTTTGGCGGGGTTTAACGTTATTGCAAAAATTGTTTCTTTTTAAGTTACGTCTTTATAAGACAGAACGGATGGGGGCGATAACGCGTTACTATCGTTATTAATGATCATAATTTCTATGTCGCGTTATATTTTTTCTACCTATGCCGGTAATCTGATCATGAATAAGTTATATTTAGTAATTATACCACATTTTGTGATTTCCATGTTAGATATTAAGATATATAAGGACAGTTTCATTATATATTGAAAGCCCTCGTAGTGTAACAAAAACTACCTAGACCACTTTTATGTGATGTTATACGACCTTTCAGATCCTCACGACTGGTCAAAGCGGCGAAAATATTTATTTATTATTTATGGTTCGATTATACATGGTCTAAAAGGTCATTATGGAGTCTTTCCAGCTTTAACTTTGGGAGACCCCAGGATGACATTAGTGCATTATTGCTGGCAACTGAGTAGAACCACCCACTTTTTGTAGGCTACATTCAAAGCTTTTTTACATGAAAAAAACAATCCGATTCACATGGCAGTATGTGAGCACAAAATGGTTAGGGGAATGTGATTATATGATAGTGACGATGACCAAAAGCCATGATTGCCTCGAAAAACTGAGTGAAAACGTACTTTTCTATTTACAGGTTGGTTTGTACTGTGCTATGTTTATGGAAATCCAGTCAAAAACGTACTTCATTGACTTTGTAGATCTTATAAGAGGTAACAATATGACGTTTGTATGTTAATTGCTTTAAAGTCATATTAGATATATGTACATATCTATTATATATAATTCAAAGAATGATTTGTAAAGAGAAGATTTACTTTGATTTTGCGCCAGACTGACAAGCCACTTTTCAGCTTTAGACTCCCCTTATCTTTCAGTGTTTTATGAGGTCAGCTTCAGAATCCTTGGTGTCTGATCAGATATGTCCATTAGCTTACTTGATCTGATCATTGCCACACTTAAACAATTCAATAATAAAATAAGTTTAAAATTACAAACAGAAAAAAAAACAGGAAACAAATCACAACAGCTGATGTGAAAATTGAACACTTTCTTCAATTTTATGTGTATATAAATATATATTTATATACATATTATATACATTCTTTTTTACGTCATGAAAAATTGTATTTGTTGCAGCTGCCAATGTTATTGCTACCATGATTACGTTGCTTTGTGGTATAAGAAATATCTACATTTTACTTATGAACTACAGGTCAGTTTCTAACAAAATAATACATATTATTTATTTTTTTATAAAATTTTGTTTTTAAAGATTAAAAAAAAGCAGTTTAAAATACTATTTATTAATTCATATGTCTCATGTATAGGTTAAATAAATCCTAGTCTGTGATGTTTTGGTATTTATTTGTGTTTTCACAGCACAGTTTCCAGCATGTTTTAAAACACAGAACTGGGTTCATTGCTCTCAAAGGCTATGTCAATGTTATTCGTAATCTTTCGGCGTATCTCGACCCATTCTACTACCAATATGTACTACATGTATGTTCCTAGGTCCTTATGCAAGTAAAAACAGAACAGCAGAACTATACAATTCATTGGATTCATATGAATCAATTTTTATGAATCGCAGGACATCATACTCATTGAGTAATTGTATTATCGTTTGTTTAAAACTTGAACAAACTCCTGATTTAATTTAAATATAGCACCAATTTAAAAAAAAGATAATATTTGTAAAAAAATGAAATATTATCAATGTAATTTGTATATAATTCAGGCGAGACATGCTCCTGTTGTTTAAGGGTGACAAGAGCTTCATTCCAAATACGGTACAAACACCTTCACCGAATGTTTACATGGTAAGATTATAGAAAATAATCTTATGCTCTTTTCTTTTCTTGTTGGTGTGTTTTGCAACCAAATTTAGTCCTAAATTCTGTTTTCAAATGGCGTTATGTGACAATTTGTTTTGATCGTTTATATTTTATACAGCATTTCATTTTTGAATTTAAATGCAAATATAAGACCTAAATGATAAGTGACTGGCAATAGGCTGTTTGAATAGTTGAAAGAGGCAGATTTTAGATCAATGTAACCTGATCGTTCGTGTGATATTCATTTTAAGCTCTTCTTTTTCTTTTTTGATATTTCTTTCTTCAGGCACAAGGGATGCGTTTTATTGGAACATCAATAACGGGAATGTTTTGGGGTAGGTAAAGTATTATGTTAATTTTATTAACCACCCAACCAACCAACAGAGCAATTGGCGGCATTATAACAACGCTTTACAGCACATGATAATTATAAGTTAGATAAAATGAGTTAAAAATAAACACAAAAAACGGACGCTAGATTATTTGTTACTTTATAGTAACGTCATTTTATTCTGAAAAATACTAAATGTCGAAAGCTTGTTTTTATTAACTGATTGTAAGCAAAATAAGTTTAAAATTCCTAAACATGTAACTGACACAACTCAGTTGTTAATATATAACGGTAACCTTAGTGAAATGTATACTTATTCTTTACAAAAAGCAAGACATCTTAAGAATATTCGATACAATTACTTTTTTGGTATTTTCTACGTTTATATATTTTACTTTAGAAAGTCTTTGCAAAATGAAATATAAGAACTTGAAAAAAAAACATAACATTATTATAAATACAAAATTGTTATATAAAATTGTGTACCGGTCTGACAATTCAATAGCTTACATTGAATGTTTCAGGAACAGTGTTTTGCTATTTGCTTGTGTTTGTTCCATTAGCGTTGATGTTTATGATTATCAAGATCCTAAACTTGAGGAAGGAACTTGACGAGATGTGGAAACAGTTCCAGTGGCTAATGTATCTTTATCATATCGTATAATAGATATATCAACTATATTTTAAATTTTATTTATTTTTCAATTTTGAAAAAAAAAACAACCAAGTTATCAGATTTGCGTAAAGGCGGGTGGGCAAGCGGATGAACATCAAACAAGATTTCGGGTCAATAACTAAAGATTATATTGACTTATCGTAATGAAACTTGTTATATAGCAAGCATATGAAAAGATCACGCTTTGTATTTTTTTCGGGATCTTGAGGGAAAGGTCTATAAATAGAAAAAAGGGTTTGCTGTCAATAACTAGAATTTGGAATGAGACTTGGTGTGTAGCAAAAGTATGTTATGACCTCGCTTGGGATTACTATTGGGTCCCCTGTGGTTAAGGTCAAGGGTACTGTGACTAAACATAAACAATCGTTTTCCGGACAAGAACTAGAGTTAGGATTGAGATTTTAAAAAAATTGGTGTTAAGCAAGACCATGGAAAGACCTCACTTGGGATTGCGTTTGCAAAGAGTCAAATCAAAGGCTACTGTTACTGAATATAAAAATCAGTGTCAGGTCAATAATATAAGTTTGGAATGAGATATTTAAAAGAATCTTGTGGTGTTGCAAGCATACGTAAATGCCTCACCTGCGATTTCTTTTGGGTTCCCTAGGGTCAATATCACTGTTACTAATAAAACTAACAAAATAGAAAATCGTTTTCCGGTCAGTGACTGGAGTTGAAATGAAATATCGTAATTAAACTTGTTTTGAATTTACCTGGTAATGTAAAAGTATTTTGTTAATAGGAATACTCTACAAGTCTGGCCGACGCTTGAAAGGGTGATATTGAAAACCTGGTTCCATTGCATTGGAATGGTTATTGTTATTTGTATTTGTATATTCAGCTTACATGATTTTAAAATTTTGTAATTTCATGGTGTTGTCAAAACGAGTTGTTATGTTATCCTTTTTCCCAGCTATGGACACACGTTGATTATTTGAAAGTTTATAGATATGGGGGGTCCAGCGAAGGGTCTTTGTATAATAAGGTTGTTCATTGATTACTTGTATGTTTTGTTTATTCAATGGAATATGAATATTTATAATATCAAGCAGACCATCTCAACGGTTGATTGAAGCAATCTCAAACTTAATGTTTAATAAACTCTCTCTAGTGGAATAAGCTAAAGCATCTGTTAATGTTATCTATTCAGATACTTTTTTTATATAAAAAACCGTAGCCAAAATGTGTTTTCCAGTCTTTTACAATGTTTCGATACGATGAATGAAATACAATTAATCATGGTAAATTCAGACCTACTGACAAAATATAAGTGCTTACATATTGCAGTATTGATTCCGCTGTAGAATTTGATTTGTTCTTCTAGATATCCGATTTGTATGGTCATCATATTCAAAGTACAGACTTTCTTGATTGGTCGATATTTCATTCAGCCGAAAATAAATGCTGAGGACAAATACAGGCCGCTAGCTGTAGATAACAGGTATATAACTTATAAATGCTGAGGACAAATATAGACCACTAGCTGTATATAACATGCTGAGGATAAATATAGTCCGCTGGCTCAAGAACTGTTTTTCTCTTATTTGGTTTTGAGGGTTTTGTTTTTGTGTTTCAATATTAGAATATATTGACTGTTATAATAAAAATAAAATTCTGTAAACCCATTAAAGAACGCAAGGATAAGGCTTGACGTCACGTCCGGTTAGTTGTCAACGCGTTAATAAAGGTCAAAGAAGTTTATTTTATTTGCGTATTTGTTTTTCTTTAGGAACATAATGAATACACGTTCCCCTACCTAACTGAAAAAAATCAATTTGCGTTGGCTTCAAGTCAAATTTGACAAGCCGTATGAAACAGATATGGAGTTTTAAGCTAGAAAATCGGATTTGACATGTACTGAAAAATTAATATAGATCTCGGCTATCGTCTCGGTCAAAATTAATTATTTTCAAGTACATATAGTGAGCCAAAATGAAAAGGCGGCGCAAGTAAGTTTTGACGTATTTCTTCTAAAGGTTCAATAAAATGTTTTAAAACAGTATCTTTAGCAACTGGAAACAGTATGACACCGAGAATTCCTTGAAACTGTACAGTAACGTGCTTCTATTCAGTTTGGTACGTTCTATACGGAATTTTGCCCAACCGAAAAAAACCCAACAAAAAACCGGTGTGGTAAGCAAAAGAATTGTACTTTTTTTCTCGGCGTCACTACTAGACGGACATATTGTTTATGCTCGTTTCTTTTTTCTATAGTAAGTAAGGGTGAACAACAGTTGCTGTTCGGAGCTTGAGGTTTGAGAGTTATCGGGTGCAGAAACATTCGCTTCTAAATCTCAGAGCAACGATGGTCACGTACTGGTGACTTAAAGGGAGAATGGGCGTTCAGTGAAGGATTCTATTCTCTTTCTCCGATATTAAAAAGAATCATAAAAAAACATTCCTCAGATTTTGCATATACGGTCACGTTTACCAGTTTATAGCTCTATGTTTTGGCCAATCTGTGTCCACCACAATACTAGTATTTACGAAAGTAATAGCATTAATTGTTTTTTAAAATTTACGCTCAGTCTCCTCAATGGAGTTCATGGGTTCGTGTGACAATCTCAAAAATACAATAAAAAATGTCACTGCATCTTCCACAGGAAGGGGATGTTTGGTCGAAGGATTGCTATACACGCTGTCGAATTCGAACTCGCCCCGAAGGCCCATTATTAACCAATTCTCGACTTCTGCGTACACGTAAGGTTCAATCAAAGACTGTGACATTCGCTTGTCTTCAGTGACGAATCGTGTGTACCGCAGGCGAGGTGAGCGTCATGCCAGTCTACGCCCATGACGTTGACCGATTCGGCATAGGCAGCGTCGTGAGTTAGGGCTGTTTTTGTACAAACGGAAATTCTCTTCTTGCTATTGTGCAAAGAAACTAAAGCTGTTCAATACAGGGATCAGATTTTGCAACCTGATCTGCGCCCCTTTATGCAGAGACATGGCCATTTACAAGTATCCAGCAAGGCAACATTAGACCCCATACGACAGTTCTTACACAGATTCTTTTGTGAAATGCTGCTGCTCAAATTCTGAGGTCAATGAGGAGACGTTTTGTGACTTTGCGAGACTCTAGATGTGGACACAATTGTTCATGAATATTTGTTTCATACTATTCTTCGTAATGATTTCGTAATGATGTTCTTCAGACATCATTTACGTTAATCAACATTTAAGACAAACGGTGAAACGTGTTTTCTACTGATGTCGAGGTGTTCTGTGCATAGCAAACAACTTAAGTCATTGCAGTAAAAGTAATATTGAAAATCTGGTCCCGAAAATACCGAATTGTCAAGTTTTCAGTTTGGTTTAGTATTTTTCATCACATTTACCGACTAAAATCATATTTGTATAAATGTAATAATCATAACTAAACAGAAAGCTTACTGAATAATCATTTAGTATGTAGCTTTACAATTTCCTTGTTGACTTCCTGCTTTGATATGAAAATGAAGTAATTGGTAGAATTCCAACCCAGTTTTCTTTGTCAATTGACTGTACACCAGTTTAGAATATTTTAACTTAGATGTTATTTCATGCTTGTTTTACTTATATTAATGTCATTTTTTTTTCATTTTAGGAATATTTACGATGTATTTAGCTTCTTCACTATTTTCCTTAATGCGAGTATCGGACTCTTTACCTTCCTTAAGCGTATTTTGCTTGGTGCATTTTTGGGCGTGTTTATGATTCCTAGGATGGACAGAAGCCTGCTAATGCGAGGATATGAAGCTATGGATAAATGTTTGTATTTTTTGCTTCATTATTTGGTGACGGCTTGTAGTGTCTTACGATCATGTTGAAAATCAGTTATAAATTATTATGTAATAAGTTTTCATATAACACACATCAAAACACAATATCCCCAAATGTAATTATATGGTTATGTCAGTTTATACACGTAATTTACCAATTTGGTTAGTTAACCAAAACTGGTTAAATTTAATAAAAGATTAGCGTTTAACCGAGGGTTAATATAACCAAAGGTTTTTCAGTTAGGTGCAGGTGTATACGTTGATCAATCTATTAATATTCTATTTTCTTAACAGACATTTCCATTCTGCACAAAGAGGTAGCAAAACAGCCATCCTGAAGAAGCATACTTAGAATGTTAATTTTATGTGACATTAAATAATTGAAGCAGCGCATTTTTCTTCTTGATATGTACGCTTTGGAGATAATTAAGTTTTATTCTGTTTCAAACGGAAAATGACTAACACTACCGGCGAAACGCAAACATTATAACGTATAACAGACGTAATTTATGATTTCAGGTTATGTAAACTACATCGGAATGATAATGGTTGATGTGGCACACAATCACCCTGTGATGCGCGTGTTTTGTTTCCTCGTGAAATCTAATTTGGAAAATAGAAGAGATAGAAAACCTCTAAGATATGCAGTCGAGAACGCTGTTTATGGCAATTTAAGCTTCTCAAATCACATTCCAATTGAAACAGGTAAAACTATGATATTTAGAAATAAATGTTAAATAAATGTTATAAAAGCGTAGATTGTCAATTTTATTCTTGTAATCCTATTTTTCATTTTTTTCCGAACTTATCTTCTTAAATAATACTTACCTTACTACTGGTGTAAAACCTTCAAACATTTTACTCAGTATCAACCGCAAAATTGTTTCATTTTCATTATTGTAACATATGGATGTATATCATGGAAAATAAAATGGTAGTTTGTATATTTATAATGTGTTTCAGGAAACAGCATTGCCAAGAGAAGATGGTGGCTTGCATTGACATTAATCCGGAATCCGTCACTCGTGGCTTTGCGAGTTCGGGAAAGTAAAAGAGAAGAATCCCGACACAGAACAACGCTGAGTCTGACGGACATTAAATGCGATGACAAAACAGCTATTGTTGACCAGGAAAATTCGGCAGACGCTTGGGGATTTTCTATAAGATGTTGCAGAAATTACAAGTTTGAGATTCCTTCAAATATTCTCATCAATTTGATGGCTTTGATTGTATTATTATCAGTGCTCGTCATTTATACTGGGTTTCCAATTTTGTTAAGAAGTTTGATGGAGGAGGCAGAAGCGCTTGCTCAGGCAACTTAATGTACTTTATATATTGTTGTTTCAACATGACATGCTCGTACATTGTATTACTAAAACTACGAGACGAATTATAGATGATGTTTATAATATTAATAATGTTCATGATATAAGTTTGTTTGGAGTATTTAATTACCTGTTATAATACGATATATAATAAGATAACTTATATACTTATATGTACTCATAACCTTGTATGCTGTGCCTATACATTTCCTTTTATAAAAATTCGATTGGATTTATACACATTGTATATAGCTATTATATTTTAGTATTAATACTTTCATGGGGTAGGAACTTTTTTACAAGGAATGCATCGGATGACTTGCCATTTCTTTATCTAATACATGTTTTGAATTTCTTTTTTTTTGATGTTTTACCGAACAGCTGATATAATAGTTTTTTTTCTGTATCTTCACAGGGAAGACAATAAGCTGTTAATTTAATGAGTTATGATGAAGGTTGTTGAAAAATGTATTGTGTTGTCATTGTAAAATCTATATGAAGTTTATTTTAAACCTTTTATAAATGTTACTTCTACGAAACAAAGATAGCTATAAGCAAGATGTTTGTTTGTTTGATGGGGTTTTACGTCAAACCGACACAGTATAGGTCATATGGCGACGTTCCAGCTTTACCGGTGGAGAAAGACCTCAGGTGCCCTTCCGTGCATTATTTCAGGCACGAACGGGCACCTGAGTAGAACCACAGACGTTCCGTAATCTAGCTGGATTGCTTCCTTACATGAAACAATCCAAAGTCCCTGTCGGGATTCGAACCCAAAGCGGTGAGGGGAGAGTGATTTGAACATGTTAAGGTTAACGACCTTAACCAAGATGTGCCAGTACATCGTTTAAAGATATTTGACATGGCAAGGTATGAAGTGACTGGCTCCGAATTTATTTGAATCGCACCAATTTAAGGACGAAATGACGTTGTGATAGCAAAGAATCTGCTTTTATTAGATAAATAACATTATTACACTTTCAGAAGTCATTAAAGCTACATTTTTATTATTTCATAGTAAAATTTTAAAATACAATATTACAGTAGCCTGGCTATATTAAATGTGGATGAAAAGAATGTATTATAAGGAACTGAAAAAATGGTCAGATATAAATTATGTCGGTAGTAAAATGTGCTGAATTAAGAGAACCAAACAAAAATTCGCCTAAATCATGTTAAATATGTAACAAATTCGGGAAATCTTACAGAATTATTTTTTCAGCAAGAGTAATGCGACGTCATGATATGATGACGTCATGAATTAGAAAAGAATATGAAATGATTAAACCCCACTTCAAAGCTTGAAATAAATTTTCATTGTATGTACGATCAAATTATAGTTCACTCCTGAACACCAGCAATTGTATTTTCTTTTAAATCTGATAATTACTGTGAAATATATATAGAATACCATGCTTGCATTTGCTACTGATGAAAACCTCATTGAAGCCTTGCCTGGTAAATTTAATTATATTAGGCACATTTTTGGCATTATATCAATAATGTTTTAATTAATCTTTGCGTTTCTCGTTTTTAAAAAATTCAAATGAAACAAAACCTTTCAAGTACATCTCGAGGTTATATCGCGCGCAATAGTATGCAAATTTACAGTCAATGTCAATTTGATAAGAAATTGTCTCGTATGATTAGCCAGTTGTGAGAGGAATTTTAATAGTAAATCATATTTTTGATTCAAATTCTATATCAAAATAGTAGTAGGTCATTTCAGTTCGTTTCAAACTATATATATATATATTTATGGGTCTGATAACGCTTGAGGTGATTGATAAAGCAAGTTTTTAGATATGCAGTTTATCAGCAGAAATCTAATTTTCCGTCTTACATGCAAAGCAAACAAATATCCTTTTTTGGTAGCTGTTAATTGATTGTATCGAATCAATATGATATGATCGTAGTCCTTTTTGTTTGCAAAGCAATCTGAAAAATAAATTGCGACCAATTCACTTACTTCCATAAACACTTCCGCCAAAAAATTAACCATCACTTAATGCATGTCTTCAATGTTACAACCGGTGATCAAAACTAAAATAAAGTTTCCTTTATTGACAGTAAATAGGACAATTAGATATGTATATGCACTCTCTTTCATTACATTGTTTCATACGCTATTTTGTATGTCATTAGTGTACAATATAACTCTAAAACATGTGATATATCACTTGTTGAATAATAGCTTCTTGTTGAAATTTAATAAGCAGATGAGGTAGGAAATGTGCTTTGTATGTGTAATATTATATATTATTCGACCAAAAAAGTACGACCTATGGAAATTGCAATAACTGTTCATATTGTGTATTTATTGACATATAAAATGAAAAGCATAATATTGTATCTAAAAACATGCCCTGCAGTAGATCAATACAAGTTGAGAGGATGTTAAAGGATCACGTTGTTAGAACTTTAATCTGTATATTTATATCGGCTTTTACATTATAAATACAAAGTGAGTGAAAGTATATTTCTATTTGAGATATTTTATAGTATCTTTTGCAGTTGGCAGCTTTAAAAAGATGATCACCCTTACACTAATTATCGTTAATCCCCAATTCTACAGCGTTTGGATAGTTTGAAAACCACGGTGACTATAACATCTTACATATTGTTAGGGACATGGATTGAATGTTTTTTTTATATTATACTTGTATACAAAAAAGGAAGTTTATAAGTTTATAAAAGGAAAATAATTTGGGGGTTCATGATATAAATGATCATGTTTCAAAAGATACCGTTAAACCTTTTTAATAAAAAACATTCCTTATACCACATGAATTTAAAACGGGTTAAGAATATTCTGATAAAAGTTCAAACACCTATGACCTTATAGTGTTGATCTAAATTGAGTGTATCGATATGATTATTAAGACATGATAGAAACAAAAACACAAAACAAACAAAAACAACAACAACAACAACAAAAATCTCTATCGATCACCGAAAACGACAAGATTGAAGAAATGTTATTCAGCGCGGTCAGTTGAGTCTGTTCATTGATGGGAGTAGTAATTACAAGCTTCTGTTCATGTCCCGATAACCGGTTTAAGCAGAATATAACATTTAAACATAAAAAATAGCGAAATACTAAATTTATAAACATCCACAGATGCCTTCTTTGTGACAATTTCTACTTTAGCACAATGTTTATGTGATAAGACTATTGTGTTCTGAATCCAGTATTATAAAATTATTTAACTCACGTTATCTCTTTCTAAAGAAAGACACAATTAATGTGTTCATTCTTCAGGCTTAATGTGCTTTTAAAGTTTATTAAGTTTAATGGCCAAAACCTACATACCTAATATGACAAAGGCAATAAATTTAAGGATTTGTTAAATTTCCAAACGTTTTAATTTACCAAAAAAACTCCTTGTCGTGATGAATCTTATTTAAGAATACATGTATCTTTTGTATATTAATGTGGACAGCATTCTATGTAAAATTTCAAAAGTTATACACACAAAACAAAATTACTCGATCAACTGAGATTTATCAAAATTTAAAAACTTCTGCAAGTGGAAAGTAATTACTGATTAAAACTTGGTAACAATTTTACCAAGCAAAGTGATGACATGTTCACAATCGAACAGTGTTGATTTTGTTCAAGTCAAAGTCAAATTTCCTTTATTACACACATTTCATGTTAACATGAATAAATGTGTTTAGTAATAAATACAATGCTAGTAGAGGCTCTTTAAACATATGTACAATGTTTATATACTTTCAGTGGTAAAATAGTTCTTAAAAAGAGTATTTTTTTCAAATCATTTGCTTAACAGCAGTTCAATTAACAATGTATCAAAAACCACAAATTGTTAAATTTCTTAGTAAATATGTTACCATAATTTAGACATTCTTTAAGGGTATAATTTCGTTTTATATTACCTTTCTTTTTATTTATCGACAAACGATGACAATGGTTACAAAAAAGAAAGAAAAAAGAAATAATAATATAAACAACTGACAAGTGAAGTACAATTAAGTACGACATAATATTTTAAACCTTTACAATGACATTTCTAGACTCACTGATACTTAAAAGCTAAATGAAAATGTTTCATACTATTAGACAAAGATTATAAAAAACAAACACTCTACTATGGGTAATAAAAAATTAATCTATGAAATATTCGTGTAATAGTGTTGGAATGTAAGTAATTCTTGGAATGTAAGTAATCAAATACGAGGTGTATACTTATCTAATTATCTTAAAATGATTGTTTTAACAAATTTACATAATTTCAAATATTCGCTCTTGTTTTCTGTGTTAATTAGTTGTTCAAGCTTGAATGTATTTGCGCGTCTGTATTAATAGGCTTTCAAAAATTTCATTCTTTCATCATTGAGCAAAACACATTCAAATAAGTAATGAAATCCATCGCCCATTTTATTGTTACAAGAGGTACATGTTCTTTGATTGATTGGCATTCAGGCCCAATTTCCGGTTTCTATTGGTAATCAATGGTACGTGTACGAAATTTTATCATATAACGAAGTAGGAGTTGATAAAAGGTATTTTTCGAATTTAAATTCTTTTTTGAATATTCTGTAGAATGTACCTTTGCTTGCGTTTTCAATAACGGATTACCAATTATTTAGAAAACTATCTTTTAGTTTCTGTCTAATTGCTTATTTCAACCACTTCTCGTTTCCGAACTTTTGTGTATCCCATATATTACATAAACCGCAATTTATAAAAAATGTCGTAAGTTTGCAATTCAAGGATATTTTTTCTCAAATTATTTTCACTTAAATTTTTTAAAAGATTATAAATTATATTGTATAATAGAGACGACAATTTCTTTTGATGATTATTTACATCGTGCTTTTTTATTCTTTCATTTCTATCAAATGATAGAGACCGGCAGCCTGTTTCTCCGTACACCATATAATTCGGAGTGGATCGTTTCATATTTAAAATATACTTTATTTTTTTTAATTGTAATCGTTCAATCACTTCTATATTACCATATCCCATTATTTCCGACCAATTAAAGAAGAATAGGTTTAATTGTTTTATTAAAAAGATATATTTGGATATCAATTGGTAAACTAAGTCGATTTGAGTATCTTACCAAACTATACATTGCTCTAGTTGCTTGTAATGCTATGAGCTTTTTAGTTTTAGTATATGATCCACTTTTACAAAATAAAACTCCTAGATACTTGTACTCCATAACTACCTCTAATCTTTCGTTGTTCAAGATAGAATTATAGTTTTGTTGTCGTCCTTTAGAAAACACTACAATTTTAGATTTAGATGTTTTACAATAAGTTCCCATGTTTTACAATAATCTTCATACAAATGTAATGATTTTTGAAAACCTTCAACCGATTCAGATAAAATAACAGTGTCGTCAGCGTAAATTAATATAAATATCTTTAAAAAAATCAGGAATTTCGTCTGCGTTTTGGTCATTTTGTACCGTGATTCCCATAGTGTGATTACTTTTCGCAAAATAATCGCTAAGGTCATTCAATAACATTGAAAAAAGTAGAGGGGACAAGTTTTCTCCTTGACGTAAGCTTAAAATAAACTTCAAAGTTAACTCTGACATGTCTGACACACAATTAAATGTTATCGTACAAGTTTTTAATGAGATTTAAACATTTTCCTGTTATTTTAAGGTTAGAGATTTTGCCAAAGACCATTTCTGCAGACTGTATCAAAGGCTTGTTTGAAGTCGAAGAAAGCACAGAATAATTTATTTTTACTGTTATTAACGTAATTGATTAAATGATGTAATACAAAAATTTGGTCTGTGGTTGAAAACCCCTTCCTAAAAAACCCAATGCTTGACTATTATTTATTATATTATTTTCATCTGCATAAGTAGTAAGCCTATTATTCATTATACTGGTAAAAAGTTTTCCTAAACAGCTTAGAAGTGTTATAGGTCTATAATTTTCAGGTTTACTAGCATCACCTTTGTTTTTATATTTTAGATTTATTATCCCAAAAGTCCACATTTCAGGTATAACACCTTTTTCAAAGACTAAATTGAAATGTTTGAACTACGTATCTTTCATTAAACTATATGAGCATTTTATTTGTTCGTTAACTATTTGGTCTAACCTACATGCTTTATTATTTTTCAACATTTTTTACTGCCTTATCAATCTCTTCATATATTATAGGACAATTAATAGATGCTCATTATTTTCTAGATCAAATGTGTTATTGTCAATAATTGTTAATTCATTTGAAAAATTAACATTTTTGAAGAATTCATACATTTCACCGATACTTGCTTTCGTTTTGCATTGACTGTTATTATTACGAAGTAACTTCCAATATTTCTCGGGGTCTTTGATTTTTAATTTGCGGAATTAATCAATGTTTCTATTCAAATGTTTTTTTTTAAACGAACGCATAGTATGTTTGTAAATATCTTAATTTCTTCTTTAAGATTATATTTGTTGTCGTCAGTTTTTTCTTAATTTATATAAATATTTCGCTCTATGAAAGTATCTTCTTGCTTTCCTACACTGATTTTCAAACCAAGAGCTATTGTTATTTACTACTTTATTGTTGTTTTTTTTACTTTATAGCCAAATGCTTCCTCAGAAGTTTAAGAAATAGTGAGGAGATATTTGTAACTAAATCATCTGCATTTTGCTGATTAAAATTGTCGCTATTTTTCAAAATGTCAAGTTTTTCATTTAATTCCTCTATAAGATTTATGACAAATTTCTGTAAAAAGCTTTCACGTTTCTTATTGTCTCATAATTTTAATAGATGGTTCAGTATTATTAACATGTTCAACAATATCAATTTGGTTAGTATTCAATGTTTAAAGAATAGGATTATGTGCATCTTATAAAATGAGACAACAATCTTTAACAGTAAGATCGAGTACATTTTTAAACAGATTTGAATTACATATAAAATAATCGACAGTACTGGTACCTTTACAAGTAGTAATTCCGGTATAATCGCCAGAAGTTCGACCATTTAATATATACTCATTATTTAATTGTTAAAAATCAGAAAATCTATTACCATAACTGTTATTATGTTTATCGGTGTTATAAAGTAATAGCTTTACACTTTGTGCATTTTGAAATTTACTCATTTCAGTATTAAATTCATCGCAAAGAACGTTTTGGTTTTCCAAAAATGTCTATCGACTGTAATCTTCAGTTGATTTTGTACGTGAATTGAAATCTCCAAACAAGAAATACGATGAGCAATTGTCCGATAGGCGATCGTCTTGAATTTCGGAAAAGGATCGTCAGCTGCATAGTCCGAGTATTCGGGTGTTTATGTTTATATGCATGCAGTTTGATTTTCAAAATGTCTCAACAATCTTCAAATTCCATGGGAAGTGTGCTGTCAGTTTGTAATAAATAAATCCTTGTTTGAAAGCTGGACCTATTAGTCACTCCTAGGATGGTTGATCGCAGTTATCTGTTCCGTCATTATCAACTTCACAGTATTTACATACATCACAAAACAACATGGAACCAACATTTACAGATATCTTCAAAAACAAAGCATAAAGACACATAAATCGCCCAATATTATACAATTATTGACTAGTGAGCCATTGAATATGATGTGATAATATCACACCATATTCAATGGCTCACTAGTCAATAATTGTTTTGTTATATGAATAGGCTAAAAAATCAAAAAAATCACAAAAGGTACAACCTTATATACATGTTCACATTTTGCCTTGTTGAAGGGCGGAAAAAAGACGCACGTGTTAGGCGTGTAACGACTACGCGATCGCTGCGCATACAAAAATAATTCAAGTTTATACTCATCATTGCGGTGTAGCCTTTAAGTAAAATAGTAAAGTAATAATACTTTAATCGAGAAATATGCCATAATGAACAAAAAGCAACAATTATGTTTTAATTAAACCGCGTAATTAACAGTCTATGGTGTAGGATCATTGAATATGTTTTAGACTGGGAAAGTGAATAAGATACTACACCCAGTAGATATGATTTTATAAAAAGTTCTGTTGACTACTGTTTGGACAAATGAGATTGCAGCTATATTTAGATCATATAATAAAACTCAATATCAATCAAATATATCCATTCCAACAACAAAATATAATTCATCAATATGGATGCATGCCTTATAATAAATTCTAGTGTTCAGTCATTAATGTATCATGTATTTGCCAAGGATTGAGCTTATCTTTTTCATCATTATTCGTTAAATTTTGTTTTTAAATTTGAATGAATACCTAACGCAGTAGGAACGATTTTTCATGCAAAGTTTGTCAGTCATAAATTTGTATATAACATTCCATGAATGAAATGAGATAATTTATAAATATCGTGTATTTTGACGATCTTATATACTACCTTATAAGGTAGCGAACAATAACATTTATGTACCTGGTTTTATGAGATTGTTAAACTGCATACTCCGCATTGAGTATCGCATTTCAATTAATAACCCAGATAGCGTTTTCTGAAATCGTATAGACCCGCTTTACCATTGACTTTTCTGAAAAGAAAAACACAATAAACACAACTTCAAGTGAAGCAAAACGATGTGTGGGTAAATAAAATATGGATTTATAAATCGGTATGTGTCTTACTTTGCGTATATATGCTTCGAAACGAATGATCAAATTTATTCTGCAAATTAAAACATGTACTTGTCTAGCTTCTTAATAAAATACAAACTCGCTGCAACTGTCTTGTGTCATGGACTGAAGGTCAAAGATTGTAGAAGGTGTAGCAAATACTTTTTTGTCATGTAAAAATGATGATGCGATTACGTAAATGTATATTTTAAAAAGCAATGCAATCAGAAAAAATACACATATTTTTAGGAAGCATGAGCTATTACATTGACACATTTAATTGTATGTTTTAGTAGTCAGTGAAATTAAAGTTTGATAATTTCACAGTGAGAATATAAAATGTCATTTTCACAGTAGCCGGATTATATTTGAATGTAGATGAAGACATATCTCTGAACCATCTCTCTGTCGTTTAATACAGACATATTTTTTAGTTAAGTTGCGAATGTCACCTTGACATGTTAAAAAAAGCATAACCTAAGCTGCCATAACCTCAGCTTTTTTGCAAATCTGTCAGCAATATATCACCATAATAGGGAGTCCAGTCGATATAAACTATATAACAGCAGGATGTTAAGCAAAGAAAATATAACATCTGATGTTCACTCAGTGAAATCGATCTTACATGCAAAACACACTAATATCCTTTGTATATTTTTTGTAAATTACACATAAGGAATGTTTTAAATTTTACATAAATCGCATGGCTTGTTGACTATTATGACAGAGCTATAAAAGTAAGATAATCATACTCTACAAATTTTCAGTTTGTTAAAATTGTAATTGCACACCCTGGTCGTCTTTGTTCAGAAATTTAAACGTTTTGCTGATTATTCAGGTGATATCATTTGTTTTATGCATACTGTCATTAATTTTCGGAAGCTTTTTCGTTAGTTTCCGTAATTTATTACGATTTACTTATTTATTTTTAATGATAGTAATGATGTCGAAATAAAATCATAACTTTGATATATATATAGAATATATAGATGTATATTTGTCAAGGTTCATAATTTCAATTTATACAGACGCTCAATGGTTGATTGGCATTTACAAAAACTTAGTAGAAGTCAAGTGTCGCAAAATATGTCAAACACTATTTTAACACTCACTCTTTTGAAATATGAAGTCAATTCAGCTCAACTTGACTAAAAAAATATAAGCAAAATGTCACTCATCAACGAGGCTAGTTAGGCAAGTGTTGTGTCGGTTCCTTAAAGTTATACATAAACCATAAAAATGTACCGTTATGACATATTTTAAATCCGTTTGATATACTTCGGAATCCGACAATTACCGACAAAAGGTCATTGAATATTCAAATATATCAGATCAATATTGCGAAAGAATACTATAGAAATTCAAATCTAGAAAATAGGAACATTCATTATATACTTAAAGTGACATTATGCTCATATTTTCTTAGTCAAGTTGAGCTGAATTGACTTCATATTTCAAAAGAGTGAGTGTTAAAATGGTGTTTGACCAACAGTTGATATCGGAAAATGTTTAGGATAAAATGATAAATCTGCCGACAATATAAAAAGACTACCCCACTCTTTTTATAAACTGAACATTACAGGTAAATTCTAAAAGATATTAACAGAAATTGCGTTTGGACGTATGTGCTATTTATATTTGATGCGAAGTAAATGATTAAATCAAAAGGAATTATGGCAAAATGAAAACTGCGTTCACTCACTATATACCCTTGAATAAGCATAATGTCACTTTAATTATTGATGAAATATAGAAAATATTGAGGAAATAAAATGCGTAATTTCATTTGCCGTATGTTGTAAAATATATTTTCTGTATCTTCACTTGTGTCTTGCCAGGCTACTTTCTTTTAAATCCAGCGAATACACAAAATTTAAGGGGAAGTCTTTCAAACTGTAATGTCAAAAAAAGTTTTTTCCCTATAAATGCAGGATTTAATTTCATCCAGTGGTATGAAAATTGTCATGTTTGAGTCGTGAACACGGCACTCATGAAATATTTATTTTCATTCCTCCCTTGTTTATCCTCTTTACACATACGATCAAATAAATGACTTCGTTTCAAATTGAAATCAGATGTACGTGTCTGATAATGAAAGAAACTATCAAGAAACTATCAACGAACTTGAACAGCAATTTTAACGGACAAAAAGACGCACATTGATTAATTCACTGAAACGGACAAGGACAAGCCGATAAGTTTATTTGAATTAGCGTAATAAGTTCTGATAGATTTCATAAGCGGTTTGATCAAATGCCAGTATCATTGTTAATCGAAATAGCTATCTTTCAATCTTTTATAGTCAGATAATTGTGATACAAAAAAACTATTAACATTGTAATTAAAAAAACCTTATATTACTTTATCTATTCGCATTACATATCATGACGTAGTAAGATATTATAAACTTTAACAGGCTTGTTAATTTAGCGGGTTTTGTTGGTAAAATTGCTCGAGATCCAGAAGTGTAACCGAACTGAATTTAAATGGACATTATCAGAACCTTAGATCTGGATAGAATAAATTAATACTACTACAAATAACGCCGAATATATGCAATATATGCCTGAACGAAATTTTTTTATAGTAAATAAAATGGAAAGAAATGAATAAGCACAAACGGCACCCAAGACATTATGTTTAAACCCGCATTGCAAATACGTCTAGGAAGATATCATCTATGAAAATGACAATTTGGCTGATAAGCATGTACCTTAGTAATTAGCAGCAACTACTTTCCATTTTGTTCCCATAGGACAATACACGATACAAAAAGATAACAAGAAGGGGAAATGGCAACGACAACCGAAAAACCGTTGGCACGATTTTGTGACGACAATGTTTTTGAAACCAATATATCAGTAGATTACACCCACTGGTTCTTAATTCCAGCCGTAAGTAAAATATGTACCGAGTAGTTATATTTTTTCTTTCAGCAAGATGTAAATATGTTGGTTGTTGTAATACTTGTGGTAATGATGAATGTTTTATTTATTGGAACCTATAGCGTGTGGTCGCAATGATCCCTCCTTTTTTCCGGTTTATTCACTGTACCAAACAAATGATGGTTTTTTGCTGTGAAGAGTTTCACTTTTCGTACGTGTATGTACCTGTAGCGAGCATCCTAAAAGCGGAGAAGGGACATAGGTTTTGTTGATCCATATCATTCTATTAAGAGTGACAATTAGGAAGAATCTACACAAGCTAAATTTGTATTAAGTTTACTGCTTAAGTTTCGATAAAAGATATCTCACTTCCCCTCGGTGCATGCTCGTCATTGTAAAGGCACAGGCCATCGGGAGAACATTTGAGACTTGAGATAGCGAAAATAGACCAGAACCTGAACTGTGGACCAGCTGCCGGTGTCCTGACTAAATAAATGCCTAGGGAAGAAGTCCTACGATGTAGGCAGATAGTCGGCTAGACTTGTATACTAAGATGCCTGAGCCCCTGGAACAGGTAGGCGGCTTGAAACGCACGACCCTTATTTGGCATAACAGCCCCATTTTCATATCATCACGGGTTACTGTACAATTAAATCCTCATAGGCCGCCCTGCATTGATCTACTGTTGGTTCAAAATTCATATTTTCGGCTAATTCTCCGTGGTAATTGTATGGAGATGAATTATTGCCACTTTGTGCTTCAAAATTAACCATTTTAGTGCCTGACTGGTGTCCTTACTCGATAGCGAAAGCTGGTTTTTGTGCCTTGTTTTTGAGGGCAGATTGACCCTCATTAAACAGGACTTCATATATACATTAGATAAGAGAAGTGTAGAGATATAGTGGTTAAATTCAAATTTCTAATGCTCATCAGGATTTATTGAGGTAAAGTTAATACTTTGCCAATGGAAAGGATGGGGGCAAATGGGGGATGAGGATTAAATAAAAAAACTTTTTTAATCAAATGTTTGCTTATCTTATGAAATTAAATATTTAATATCCTTGAAGGGTAAATCTTAAATGGTTTTTTAATTGGCCGGATCCGTTTATTCCAGTGTTTTGTGGGGAAAATATTATAATTATTAATTCCAAGTTGTCCTTCATTATCTTAATTATCTATTTTTTGTCCACAGTTTTCTAGCTTTTGACAAAAATATTCATGAACTTAAGGGTTATATGTCATTTTTTTGAATGTCAATGATGGCAATAAACTGAAAAGCTATTCAGTTGTTTTTAATACAAATGTTATCATTTGTTAAGAGTCCAGTTTATAGAAATATTACAATAAACTTATTGATATATTGAGGTTATGAAATATTTATACAATGCATTCCGTTTACGTCATTTTTGTCCGACAGGCAAAAACTTATTTATGTACTAGTTTCTGGTATTTTTCCACACATGGTGATATTATTTTTCTTAATTTGCAGACTGTAGTTAAAAATAAAGTTCTTCATGCAGATGATTCTGCTACTTTTGTTTCAGGTCAAGATAGGTCATTTATTGAAAAGGAACTGACAGATAAATTCAATTCTGTCAGTGAATGATAAGTTGAAAATACTTTGTCATCAGTATCTAAGCACCACAATGAAAATAAGAGACTATATTCTCTTTCTTGTGTTAACCTAAGTATGATGTCTTTGATGTAGTTTCATTTTTACACATGTTATATTGTTTTTATTGTTTAACCATGTGATTCCATAATACTGAAATAACTTTTATCTATCTATTGACTCGTAAGGTTGCCATCATGCTGCTATTGTGTTTTATGGAGAAGAGGAAGACGTTCAAACCAACTATAATGGGAGGTCGTCCCTCTGTTGTACGGTATTAAACCTTAAAATCACATTTATTTATTTACTGAATTATGCTTATGATAATTAATAGTCTTGAAATGTGTCATCTATACTATTAAACATATTTTGTGATATGGATATGCCTGTAGTGTAGGCTATTTTCAGATTTAAACGTATGGATTTTATTTTGCTTTATTCATACTAGATTATTAATTGTGTTTTTTAAGTAATATATTCAGTTAAAATATATCTTCTCCCAGGCATTATTTCCATGTGTACATAATTTATATATGTGTTTTCAAAAATTCATTGGTAATATATATATGAGAGATAATTTTAGAACGTTTTAATGATTTAATAGATGGTACAAAACTTTTCTCGGACGAAGTCCATCTGAAAGCGGTTTGACTTGCGGTAACATTTACAGGGAACAACTGAATATAAACAGGATTATTATTGGTCAATTTAAAATTAAAAAATCTGAGATTAGGGCATGTCATTTGCCATTATAAGAATAGTTAAAAAATATTAAGGGTATTTCTGAAACGTATAAACGTCTAAACTAATTAATCTAAAGGAGTTTCGGAGACACACTTTTTTCTTTCGAATATTTTAAATCTGTGAACCATTTTATAACATTTTACGTTGCTTGTGAGATTTCTGAAATTAAATTATCTAGTAAATACCTAACTCAGCACAAGGAACTGCTTTTAAATTTTCGTTCATTCTTTTGTAAATACCCTTTTCAACCCAATGCATTATAAATGACATTTAATAAGTTTTGTTCACCAGTAACTACCACAATCCTGAAAACTCATCTGCATGAAATTACCGAGAGACACGCAATATAAAAACCCAAGCTTTCCTGGTACTCCATGTAGATTCTGTTTAGCGTTTATGGTATTATATAATCATGATTGTATAAAATACATATAAGTTACATAATTTCCATACTTTTATCAATATTAATGAAGCCTATATAAATGTGTACATGGGTACGTCAGTATTAAGTGCATCTACCGAAACTTTGCAGTGTTTCCTAGCTCTAATCAATAAATGCTATGACAAACTCCATAACAAGCTAAAAGTATGCTAGTAAAGACAATTTTTCCTCCTCCAAGTATCTTTTTAAAAATAGTTCTTGTTTCATATTATCAACCGGCTCTTTTTTGCTCACTTTTGTGCATGGTATAGTAAACCACTTCGCTAGAGAAATTTTATTAAAATAATATAATAACTAGATATGTAATGATCATAAATCATAATAATGATAAAGCAAAAGTTAAATTTATAAAAGAAAACAACAATCAATAAGCATATAACTGTTAATTCTGCTTAATATTTGGTTCTTGTTTTTACAGGCCACTCGGATTTCTGGACGAACCTGCTAACCGCTGGGGTGTTATGTTTGTCTTTGGCTCTGTGACTGGGAATATCATACAAATAGCACAGAAAGCGGTCTCTGATGAGCTAGACTGGCCGATTTGGGCAAGAAGTAAGTTGATAACCTCTAGAAATTTAGCTTACATTTAATTGAAAATGTTAAAATGTTTACATTTGATTGATTGATTTAAAAATGACGTATTTATACCGGTTCTCATTTACCCTTTTTTATTTTGTGAGCTGTGGGAAAAAGTACATATGGATAAACATGTTACATAAAACAATTTGGTTTACTTGTCTTTTTAAATATTTATTTATAGTAAAAAATCACTTATATTTTTAAAAACCCATCTGTTGGTTTACCAATTTACTATTTTAGCTGTTGAAAAAGTAAATACGAATATACAGTAGAGCCCCGTTTTTGACGACCGATCCGCTGTTACAACAAATTTGTGAAAGAACGGGTTATTTTCTTCTTGTTTTAATGGCCTTTCGACCACCCTGCTATTATGTAATACGACCATGTATTTTAACTCTGTTATTCCGATCATACCTGGATGAATGTAAAATCACATGTGTCAACACTTATTGACTATCGACTGCCGTAAAAAGTTTTGTTCTAATCATTGACCCGTGGTTTTATTACATCACGAATGGTTTATGGTTGTTGCTAATTGAAAGGTGTGCAATTTGTCGGATTATCTATGTAACGGTGTTTCTTTATTGAAAGGCAATAAATGACTATTGGTAACAAGAAAATTGAGTCTTTTCTTGACTAAAGACGTTACGAATACAAAACTAAACTAATTAATGCAATACCAGACGAGTAGTTTATTTAAGTAGCAGCCGGGTTACATCATACATTTATACATGTAAAAGTGAAACAAATAAGAAACGAGATCTAAAAGTAAAAGATCTATGAATACATTTCTTAATAACAATACAAATATAACTGATAAAATGTCATCTTTATACATGTACATGTATATCTACTTGTTTTGATATTGCAAATGAAAATACCATATACCTGCGAAAAACATTTCAACGTATTTACCTAAACTTCCGTACAATTTATTGAAACTTGTATCCAAAATTTAACATAAAGATTGAATGACGAACCGACTCGCCGAGGTAAAAAACAGAGGTAAAAACATTTTTTAAATGAAAATATCTCTGAAAACCCTGTGCCCATTTGTCAATGTCGGATCGTAAGAATGTCGGGCCTCATTCCTTGCAGGTATATGGTAAAGCATCATAAATGTAGCATTATATATATACAAATTATATTGTGCGTTACTCTTGCTTTAATATTTTTAACAAGGAAAACGTTTTTTATGAAGTAAAATACAACTTTTCATTTTCTTTTTTAACTAGTGCCTGATTAAAAGCCTGCTAAAATGTATGTATTGTAAGAAAAAGCTTACTGAAAGTATGTGAGAAAAAAAAATCAGGGAAAAATCTACTTTTAATATTACACCACGATTAAAATAATATAAAATTGAAAGTGTACTTTGTTAGAAATCGTCTGGGTAGAAGTGAATAAAAATCTTTACACTCCGTATTTATAACCCTGATATGGATAGCCTACTCGAAAAAACACGATAATCTCGTGCACAACTGACCATTACCTCCAATACCGTAAACTATGTACGTTTCGAGAAGACAAATATTTCACGCTATACTACGAAACGCGTGAAATTAATAGTCTTTTCTTGACTAAAGACGTTACGAATACAAAACTAAACTAATTAATGCAATACCAGACGAGTAGTTTAGAAATACGAAAAGAGCGGGCTGGAAAATGGAAAGTGCTTTACAAATGCAATGATTTTGTGACTAACAATCTTTTTTCTAAAGAATCACCAATGTATCCGTCTTTACTATTTTCACCCTTCCATCGACCGTGCCTTTTCCAGCAACGATCATTTATACCAGCGTTTGCGGCTGCAGTAGCACCACCCGCTCGAAGTGAATGAATACCTATGTTTAAATCTTGAACAACTTCTTTTAAACGCAAAATAAGACATTCTCTAGCTCGCGTATAACTAAGTGGCTTATCTTTGAAAATAAGTCTACAAATGTTTTTTGACCGATAACATGGCTTAAATAAAAATGTATCATCTGTAACAGATAAACCTGCAACACGCATATAACGTTGTAACATTGTATATGGACAAGCTACAGACTCGCCTTTAGAAATAACAATACGGTCTCCATGGCGATATTGGTCAGTTTTACTTTTTCTTATACGAATAGAAATATGTGAATCATGAAAAATAACATCATTACACCTAAGGCTACTTAATTCATCAAACCTTAAAAAACCTGCAAACGCTATTAGAATCATAGCTAAATCACGTAACACAAGAATATCGTCACTTTGAATGTATTTATCACACAACATTATTAAATTGTCTGTTGTCACAATATCCTTCCTTGTCTTAGGTTTTGTCAACAATCTTTTTGAAGCTTCAAGCAAATTTTTCACAAACAAATTATCAGTAGGATCGTGTAAATTTCTCAAAGAATGAGCCCACTTTAAACTATAAACAACATTTGAAACAATAGAACTGGATGATTGTTTGTCAATTAATTCTGTAAGATACAGGGCAACATGAATTGGCTCAGCGGGTATTGCTACCCCGCCCTTAGAAGTAATAAAATCCTCCCACTTTTTAAAATACGAATAATACTTTGATACTGTGCTGTCACTCTTCGACTTAACCAACAGTAAAGTCATCTTAGACGACAGTTCATTGAAACTTCCATGACGCAACCCACTTTCATTTACTTCTGCATCTATACACCTCCTCAAATTCAGGCCTGCAAAAATATAAAATATCAATGTACTACACAAATCTGACAGCAATTAAACCGAATCCTAAATTTCTGCCGTCAAAAATGCCATTTTTCCCCCGACCTCGCTTTGTCAGCTTTCCTGGAGAAAAAATAAAATGCTCAAAAACACTTCCGTTTGTCACTCCTCTTTCAGGGAAGAGAATAGGCCAAAATGGCGCCGACTTCCATATTGGGACTACAAGTGTGCATGTACATTTATCTGAAAATATTTTATCTAAACAATTGACAACTAATCTAGGTGGCGGTACAAGCCAAAAGTTTTCATTGACCCATTTATGTTCTAATGCATTAATGCCGGAAGTCCCTGGGCACCAGTACTTTGAGAAAAACTTATTACATCTTGTGTTGTAATTGCATGCAAACAAATCAAATGTATGAGGACCCCATTTTTTATCTAGTGTCTCAAACACGTGACTTTCAACGGACCAATCGTCACTATCAGTATATCTACTATAAAAATCTGCTTCCTTGTTATCATCTCTTGGAACCCATTTCGGTACTATATTTATACTGTGTTGCGAACATGTATCGTGCACGTTAACCGCAATGTCGTGCAAATACTGCTTTTTACTACCATATTTCAAAATTGAAACTACATTTTTGTTGTCAGTATTTACAATAACATCTTGCCCTTCCAGGCTTTTAAATGAAGTATTTATAACTCTGTGTACAGCCTCTAGCTCTCTCCATGTTGAACTCATACCCGTTTCGGATTCAGACCAACAACCTATCACATGACTAGTTTCATCGCCTGCAATAAAACCTGCAAAGCCAGCTCCACTGGCGTCACAAAATATGACATTTTCAATATTTTTCACTTTGGCACTTCCAGCCTCTTTTAGAACAAATTTGTTTAATATTTTCAAATTTTCTTTCCAAAATAAAATTTCATCAAATGCTCTTGCACTAATCATAACCGGGGCCTCCCAACTTGCCCGACTTACCACACAGTCATATAACGACCTGGTTCGTAATCGTACTTTCTGACCCACAGCAGTCATCATGGAAATCAACTGACCAACTAACCTGGCTACCATACGTACAGGAAATATTGTCTTCCCTTGACCAATTTCGTCAATGAATTTTTGCAACAAGAGCTCTGTACTAGATATGCGCTCGTCGGTTACTTTTAAATAACCGTTAAGAGTATCCCAAACATAACCTAACCATACTAACCTTTGACATGGAATCCAATTGCATTTATCTTCTGCGAGTATGAAACCAAAATTTAATAAATCATTGTGCACATAATCTGAAAATTTTATAGCACTTTCATACTTACTATCACCTGCAAAACCATCGTCTAAGAAAAGAATGATTCTGTATCCAAGGGAACGCCATTTAGTAACTAAAACTCTCAATACCTTCGTGAAAATGAAACCTGCAGTCTCAATTCCGAAAGGAAGCACGTTAAAAACGTAAAAATGAAGCACATTATTTACTTCCCATGAAAACCCTAAATAAGTTCTGTGTTCAGGAGAGATCATTATATGATGATATGCACTTCTTATATCGAAGGAAAAAATGTAATCTCCCTTTTCAAACATATTTTTTGCCACAGACTGGTCTTCAAAGCAACACTTGTACTTAAAAAGTTCTAAATTAATGTGACGACAATCTAAGACTAAACGTGCCTTACCAGATTTTCCATAAGCTACTGTAAGGGGATTTACAATATAAGGCTGCTCTTTCACCTCAGAAATACAACCTTTTTGTAGTAATGACTTAATTTCTTGACTTACAAATGAAGAATTATCCCTTGCTGATTTGTTGTTTAACAAGAAAACTGAATCTGGAATATTTCTGAAAGGTAATTTATACCCATTTTCTACTATTTGTAATACGTACTCATTTGCTCCAGCATCTTTCCAGTGATTTATACAAGATTTTAACTTGCCAACTGGCGTACTAATTTTTGAACTATTTTCGCATTCAGCGTTTTGCGTAGATAAATATAACAAAGAGCAACTTATCTTAGAATTTGACTGTACATCCTTGTTCATAAACCCTCCGTCGTTTTGCAAACCAGCCCTGCAGTCGTTCCGCCAATGACCGGGACGTCCACACCGGAAGCACGTGCCAGGTTTACGGCCAGCAGATACGTTCGTCTGGTTCCACGTGGTCGATGAGCCGGCAATATCCTTATTTTCAGGTGTTAACGTTTGTCCTTGGAAATAACGCCCGTAACGTGAAAACGGAGAATAACGGGTATTTCTCGCTTTCCTCTCCTGTCTGAGCTTACGCTCAGCGTCTCTCTGGGACCTGTAAATCTTTTTCTCGTCATCTTCGTTTTCGGCCAGAGGATGGGCCTCATATTCCATTACTACACGCCAACCAGCGTCACTTGAATCAGCAAGACGTATTAACTTCTGGCGGTGATTTAAAATGTCAATACCTTGAGAGACTTTTTCCATAGCAGACGACATGGCCTCACTTTGATGAGATCTGGCGGCCTCTTGAAGATGCAAGTCTACTTCCTTCATTTTGTCGAGAACACGTGCGTTTACTTTATGTTGTTCCTCGTTGCCTTTCTTACGAAACGTGAAAGTATCTTGTCTCTGTACACTGTGTTGTAGTCTCGTTATCTGCTCTTGAGTAAAAGCCCTCTGAGACTGTTCAAAATCTTCAAGCTTTTGAGTAATAAGTCTCTCCATACTTGACAATAAATCGTTTTGTTCTTCCATGGCTGCACTGCACACGCTCAAAAATGAAAGTGTACTTTGTTAGAAATCGTCTGGGTAGAAGTGAATAAAAATCTTTACATTCCGTATTTATAACCCTGATATGGATAGCCTACTCGAAAAAAACACGATAATCTCGTGCACAACTGACCATTACCTCCAATACCGTAAACTATGTACGTTTCGAGAAGACAAATATTTCACGCTATACTACGAAACGCGTGAAATTAATATTGCTATAACACCTTTGTTGATTATTAGCGACACTTACAATTTCAACTTAAGTTTACGAGTTTGTTTTTCATTGTTTTGTTGTTTGTAAATTCTGCTTACTTTCAATTAAATACCTTCGTAACAGGATTAAAACTGTTTACTGATGATGATTCTTTATAATGCCAACATTAAACTATTTTAATAAATCGTAACACCAAAGTTATTTCTTCCACGTTCAAAAGTCAATACATATATTTGTGTGTGTGTTTCAAAAAGGTTAAATAGTAAATGAATGCACCAATCTCATAACATCTTAATTCAGAATTCATTACAAATCACTTTGTGCTTAGATATATAAATGAAAGATGCCAATTGGTGCAAACATAACTTTTTGAGACAATCCGAAATAAGGACCATCCAACTACTAAGACCATTTTACTCCAGAACCGGAAGCGTTCTCATCAGGGGGGTTATATTGTTCCTTTAATATAAACATTTGCTTACTTGGCTTTGTAAATATATTGTTATAGAAAAGATATTTAAAATTTGGAAACCTGTCTGTTGCTTCGAAAGATAACTGTGTTTATTTGTGTGTACGAAAAACTGTCTGTAAAGTCAACACCACTTATATCGCATCATGGTTTTTTTCATACTATTAGGGTTTACATTGGTTTAAATATACATTTTATACACCTGAACAGAAAAGTGTTAATGAAAAGTATTTTTAAATTTGCAGGAAAAACCCTCATGTCTGCAAAACTGCAAAAATGTTTGCTATTGAGTTAAATCATGTGCGAACGTGTAAAACAATTGTCGTTTTCCTAAAGTTCTGTTCTTTAAAAAAGGGGTAACGAACCATTCGAATATCTAAAATAGATTAATGTAACATTTAGAAATTTTAAGCAAAATTAGTCTGTATATAAAATGTTTTTCAGTTTTTATGGTATACATTTTATGTCTGGAGACAAGTGTTGTATGCTACCCCTTATTTGCCTGCATGACGACTCGTCATAAATTGGTTGGAGCTATAGCGGGTCTTCTTTACTCTCTAGGATGGTAAGTTTTTCGGGTCGGATACAGCTAAGTAATATCTTTATGTCAAACACAAATTTACTATTTGTTTCATTACACATTTTAAATTATGTCATGATCCGTAATTCTAAACTTTACTAACGTTAACAGAACTGAACAAACATGTAACATAACTCAAACTTGAAAAGTTATTTTCCTTTATTCTCTGGGTACTTGTTGATATATACTTGTCATAAAACAAACAACGGACTGTGTTTTATTTAGAAACAAAAGCATAGACGAATGTTTACTGTTATGAGCTAGATTTAATCTGATCCCATCACTTTTCTCTCTTCTGCTTGTTTCATTAAGTATTTCATCCGTGTCAAACCCTAAAGGGATTCTTTCAAAAAGAGCACCAAACTTTAGAAAGAAAGCAACAAAGTTGAGGAATAGAGCACCAATGTGGGGAAATAGAGCACCAAAGTGGGGAAATAGGGAACTAAAGTAAATAGGGAAATAAAGCACGAAAATGGAAAAATAGAGCACGAAAATAGAGAATTAGAGCACCAAAGAGGAGAAAAGTAGCATCGAAGTGGAGACATAGAACACCTTAAATTGAGCTCTGTTCGTTTAAGTGCACACTTTAGATTTGACAGCACTTTACGGCGATAAGTATGCCGAATGGGGTGGGGCTTACGTAAAATTATCATATTAAGGATGATAAGAGAAACAGATACAGAAATCGACGACAGAAAGATAAGCGAAACAAAAAGAAGCAATTCCTAATGTCCCTATGGACAGATTGTTTTCAATATACTCTCGGACAGGGTTTCATATTTTGTCATAGTGGACACCTAATAGGATTTCTTGAGATACTATTTAAACACTTTTATATTTTTTGCTAATTGATCCCAAAACAATAGGAGCTGGTTGTTTTTTTAGGTTCATGATTTTCATGATTTAAAGAGAACATAAATCGTAAGTCAGGTCTGACCTTTGTCAGACTGACAAATAGGAACTATATAGACAAACGTTAGCATAAGGTCAAAATTATCTTAGAATTATCCAAAGCAATGGTATGCTTGAAATTCAAGCAAATGTTTTTAAACTAATGGCAGCAGATAAATAGCTAGATGATCGAAATCCGACAAAAACAACAGTTACTCCAAATTCAAATTATCATCAAACTTTGGAGCACTAGTCAGTGGTAACAATGGCATAGAGATTTACAGGCTTTACATGGAAAAGACTACGAAAGGTTCATCCTTGGTGCTTCAATCGAAATGATCCCTTAGGGTGCGATACAACCACACTCATTTTGCCTGAATTTGTCCATCATTCTTTACTTACGGTAGCACAGTTTGATAAAAAAAATCACTAAACATGTCAAGGTCAAGAGTAAAATGAACTTACTTTAGAATAAACAGTACAGAGTCGATGCATTATCCTACAAAATCTTTTTATGTGTGTCGTCATTGATGGGAGCTCATATTCCAGAACAGTTTATAATATTACCAAATGCTTTTGTAAATAATAATTCCATATTCTGAACCGCTGAAAGTCTGTGCATGCGCGATAATGAAATGAACTTTCGACCCGTCAACATATTAAAATTGCTATGGCAACATTTCCAAATGTAATCCCTGATACCCCAGGGTAACAGTTTTAATTGTTTCACACAAGAAAAACATAAATATTGTTTACATTTTATTTGTTGCAAAAACCTATTTTTAAACAGAAATAAATAACCATCAACTGCTTGTTCTACCTCTTTATCATTATTTATATATACATTGAGATTATTGATGCGAAATCTACGTGTATGAAATACAATATATCAATTAAACAGTTAAATGGCTCTTCTCGTTGGACTTGTCTGTGTAAATAAACACATTTGTTAATACATTGTGTTGTTTTTGATAGGTTTACATTAGAGATGGTACAAAATGTCGCTATAGGAATTTGTTATGTGAAGTATGTAGACCCGAATGTAAGAACATAAAACTCTCTATAAATTTGATTTATTTTCTTTATTTTTATTTACAATTATATAACAAAGTGTAATGCAAGTTTTTTTCATAAATATTTTTCTTTTTTGACAACTACGAGACTATGTGATCGCAACATAAGATTTATTTTGAATAGCGTACTTTTTTAATCTACCAAGCAGCCCGAAAATAGATAAATAATTATAATAAAATAAGTACACCACTATAAAATTATTACACTATTTCAAAAGACATAATGTAGATATTTCTCTTTTTAATCAGAGAGACGTGAAGATGTCGGCACATATTCTGATACAAGAAATGCCCGTGACAATTTGTAATTTTCTAGTAGTGTTGAAATTTTGTTGGAAACTTTACAAATGTTTAAGGAAAGGAATTTACAAAATTAGCCATGAGGTAAGTACAGTTAGAGTTGCCTTTTGTTATATCATATCCGTCAATGCATGTTTTCACCCCGTTAATGTTCATAAGTCGTATGTGTGCAATTTAATGCATGTTCACTTATCAAGTATTGACATAGAAATTACACGGATAAGCATTATAGCTTTAATATGCTTATCCTCGACAAATAAAACCGAAACACGTTTATTGCAAACGTGTATTGAAAAGAATGAAATCCTTACTGAATATGTCTCATTGGAATAATAGAGAGACTGCACAAACTATGTTTTGGTAGCTTCATTTCTTATTATTCGTCATTTAATTTCTTTCTTTCCTAAAAAAGGCAACGCTGCCATTTTTTTTAATAATTGACATTATACATTCATACTATATTTACCTATATGTAGTATTTAAAATGTGACATTATCTTTTCTGTATGTTTTTTTTACATTGAAAATGAGTCTGTAGAGCAATAATCAGTGTTTTCCAAAATCAATTTGTGCAGAATATAACTTTAAATGAAGTGAAAGAAATACCTGTAATTAAGACATTTAATTAATAATTTCCGCAAAAATATACTTCTTAATACATTTATAGATACATGTATATCACTTGATAGATTTATACAGTGTTTTCTACATTAAAAAATTCGCCCCTCCTTAATCCTTAATTAAAACAACAACAACAACAAAAAGAAAAATAAAGAAGAAAAAACGCACAAAGGATGAAAATGTATACAGACTTTACTATTTATTGTTTTAGATTGCTTTACATTTACTATTTCTTAGGAACACGTGAAACTTTGTAAATCATATCACCTGACATATGTAAAACATCTTCTGAACAAACGAGCCTTGGACAATACTAACGAAATGTAAGTAGAGTGTTCATGTACATGTATAGTCAATTCCTCAAAACAAACATTACGTTTTTTGTGTAGTGTGAACAACATGTAATTTAATTTGTTTGATTTTTAATTTGCATTGTGTTTCCTTTAGATCAAATATAAACGTTTTCATCGGAAGACTAAGGTCTAAAATGTCGGATTTTCATGAGCACTGATACTGTTAGGCTCAATTGCGATTCCCTAACTTTTACAAATGGATTGGTTTAAATCCCATTGAACACTCCGTGTAACATTTCAGACAAGTATGGGCACCTGTATAGAACAAGTGACCTCACAAAAGTACTGGCATCTGAATAGTGCCATCACATGATGTTATTTACTCTGTCGGGATAAGAACCTACGAGGTCAAGGCAAGCACTTCGGAGTAAGTGACTCTTAACAAACCATTCCGCTACATAGTTCTTCCAGCAACTCAATAAACAGAACAAATTATGATATGACATTAAAAACCAAAATATTTTTCTTCTTCAAATTTTGTCATTACACACTCTTTTAACATTCTAGCTCACTTTGCTTAATGTATGCTAAGATCATTTTCTAATAATTCTTTAACAAATTATTCAAAGCTTGACATGGAAGCAAAAGATACATCGGAAGATTATACGACCTGTGCCAGGATTCAGATTCCCCATTTCCATCACGATTACATCATTTATGTCTGGTGTACTACTATACATGGTAAGTGAGATTTATTAAAGCAGCATTACTCAAGATTTAAGCTAATTTTCATGAAAATTTCGAAAAAAAATTTAAAAGTAAAATTCTGTTAAGTGAACAACGTCATCTTAAAATATCAGAACCATTGCTAAAGTTTAAGGTATTTCAAATGTATGCACATGTAAATGAAGAGTCATAAGCAAGCTCAACAAGAAAAGTTTTATCACCCTTAATTGCAGTTGTGTGTGTAACTTAATCGCGTTTTTGTCTTAGTAAATCGGAGAAATAAAGTATATATTTACCTTTGTACACCCGATTTGATGCTTCAAAAATCTAATTGATACTGTTACTAGTGGATTTAACAGTTGTGTTTTTGCCATAGTTAACGAATGTTTTACCTATTAAGAAAACTTTAGTAGGTGACATTGCTGGTGGTAATGATTTTATTAAGCTAATTATAGTCTCTTATTCAATCGCCATGTAATACAACTTTCCTACACGACTTAAATCTTATTTAGAACGACTTTTCCGATTCCCAGGACTCGTCTTATTAGAAGATTCTGGTTTAAAATGAAAATATTTATTTATCATTTTATGGTTCGGTTCTATGTGACTCCGTAACTGTTATGGTCATTATGTGGGACTCTCAAACTTACTAGGGGAGGAAAACCTTAATTATTTCAGGCAAATCAGACTTCGATAAGCTAGATTGATATTTTTCTTACATTCCCATGGCCAGATTTGTTTTGAGCCCATGAAGTTAAATATAAAGTGATGACAGTGACGTTAACCACATAGCAACATTTGCCCCTTTAAACTGTGCAAAACTTACTTTCTAATTACAGGTTGGTCTATACTGTGCTGAGTTTATGGAAATTCAATCGAAAATGTACTTCTTTGATTTTGTAGATCTTATAAAAGGTAACAATATGACGTCAGTATGTGAAATGCATCAAAATTTATAGATACATGCATTTTATCTGATGTAAATAATTCCAAGAATTATAAGCATAGTAAGTTTTATTTTTTTTAATTTGGCATCAGAATTACTCTACTAGATTCATACAAGCCACAATTGAGCTTTAAATTTGCCTGATCTCTGCGTGCTTTAAAACGTCAGCTTAGGAATTCTGAAGTGCTGAAGTCCTGAAGTCAGATCAGATAAGTCAATATGCTACTAACTTGATCTTATCAATTCAACACTAAGATATCTTAACATTATAACTGTTTCTTTCAAAATTACAGCTGATGTGACAATTGAACAAATTTGTTTAATTTTATGTATATATATTTACATCATTGTTTTACCTCGTGAAAAAAATGCATTTATTTCAGCTGCTAATGTTATTGCGACCATGATTACGTTGCTTTGTGGTATAAGAAATATCTACATTTTACTTATGAACTACAGGTCAGTTAGTTATAAAAACAACATATCTTTTTATAAGATGATTAAAAACTAAAATTTTAAATACATTTGATATATAAACATGTCTCATGGATAGGTTAAATAAATCCGAGTCTGTGATCCTTAGCTAATTATTTGCATTTTTTACAACGAACTGGAAAGGACAATAAAACTATGTCAAGATTGTTCCTAATGTCTTGATTATCGCTTGTTAAAAACGTGTACAAACTCCTGGTTTCATTTAATAATAACACTAATATCAAAAAAAAAAATGACAAACTGAAAAAAAATATTAGTTTATTTTTATCAAATACAGGCGAGACATGCTCCTGTTGTTTAAAGGAGATAGAAGCTTCATTCCCAATACGGTACAAACACCTTCACCAAATATTTACATGGTAATGTTATAGAATTTTTGTATGTCTATTTGTTTCTTATTTGTGTGTTTTGTAACCAAATTAAGTGCTAAATTTTGTTTTCAAATTGCGCCAAATTGCCTGTTTGTATTGACCGTTTATATCTTGTACAGTATTCTACAATTTAAATGTAAATACATGATCTTAACTATAAATGACTAACAAAATGTTTGAATTTTGAAGAGGAAGATTTGAAATAAGCGAAACATTATCGTTCGTGTGATATTGATTTTTAATTTATTGAGAAAATATCTTATTTTGTAGGTGTTAAGATAAAATATGTAAGAAAATATGTTAAATGTAATCTTTCATTTGATTTTCATTTTATAAAAATAAATACATGTACGTATGTAATTTGTTTAAGCAGAACTCGTATTTGTATTTGTACATGGTGTTTATATTGATCATTTAATTTCACGGACATAATTCATTACAGGTTTTTCTTAACTATATTTACTTCAATATTTTTAAGAAATTCCATATACTGAATAGAAATTGATATTTCTTACTTCAGGCTCAAGGGATGCGGTTTATTGGAACATCAATTACTGGAATGTTTTGGGGTAGGTAAAGTATTATGTTACTTTTATTTACCGACCAACAGAAAAATTACATACATTAGTCTGTTAATGCATATTGAAAAGCACTACAGAAATGGGTGATATTTACAATTATTTATTTCATTCATTCAACTACTATAACTGTCATTTAACTTTATCATTGTTTAGTTTCTTCTATAATGGAAAGCCAACAACCTATAAAACATAAAAAATGATTATAATGTAAGATGCACCTAAACTCTCTATTATAGATGTTTATATTTTGTAAATGTTTTGTTCAAAATTGTTATCTTAGCCTATTTCAAAATCAAATCGCCCAAAACTATTGTTAGAATTATCTCCACGCTTTTACAGGCTTATAAAATAAAATGAGTTTAAAAATAAACAAAAAAACGGACGTAAGGTTATTTGTTACTTTATGAAAACGGCATTTTATTCTGACCAAGACTAAATGTCGGAAACATAGAAAAGCGATTGTTTGTATTTAAAGATTGTCAATAAAATAGGTCAAACTTCTTGAATATGTAACGGTCACAATTCACTTTGTGAAATGCATATTTATTATTTATAAGAAGCAAAACATCTTCAGAAAATTTGTTAAAATTACTATTTAGGAACTTACAACGTTTATATCTTATACTTTAGAAAGTCTGTTGGTGGACAAAATACAAACTTGCAGTATATAAATCACAATTCAATGACATACATGTATGTTTCAGGAACTGTGTTTTGCTATTTGCTTGTGTTTGTTCCATTAGCCTTGATGTTTATGATAATCAAGATCCTTAACTTGAGGGAGGAACTTGACAAGATGTGGAGACAGTTACAGTGGCTAATGTATCTATATTATATCGTATATTATATTTAACCGAATATTATACCGAATCTAAATCCTTTCATCCATTTGTTTTGTGCTGTCATTTTACTATTATTTGCTTTCAAATAATAATTTTACTTGTTCAGTGTGTGAAATATCTCAAACCCTAGTCGGATTTTGTTTAATAATTCTCAAGCGATGCAGCAAAAAATCATGCTCTTCTTTTAATATTCCATTTTTGTTAATCAAATTAAATATTTAATGTTACTAGGCAAAAACCCGGACTTTTAGAATTTCACAAACTATAAATAAAATTTATAATTAAATTAAAGACAAATCATGACTTTTGATCAACATGTAATAAATTTATGTCTCTGATAAAGAGGCGAATCGCCTAGCCATTTTGGCTAATCGTCTGTTTGTGTCGTCGTGAAATTCGCACGTCGTGAAAGTTACGTTTAAACGGTCTTCATAAGAATTATGGACCGCCCCCGGTCTGTATGCGGTTTATGGACCGGGTGACGTCATATTAAATATAGAAGAGCATATGCAAATGAGGTATAATATTAACTTCTATTATTAGCTTCAAACATGTTATTGTTTATCATTGAGGTCGTTCTCGACCATTTTTTCAATTTTGGAAATTCTGGTTCTTGGGTTTGTGTAAGGCAGGCGGACGGGCGAACGGACGAAAGAATGTTAAATAAGATGGTTTCGGGTGAATAACTAACGTTCCGATTGACTTATCCTAACTTGGTATATAGCACGCGTATATGAAGATCACGCTTTGGATTTCTTTGTCCCTCATGGTAAAGGTCACCTAAAAAGTTGAACAAAAAAGTGTCCTGTCATTAACGACAGTTTTAAATAAGATATTTCAATGAATTTGGTGTATTGCTAACGTATAAAAAGACATCGTTTGGGATAATATTTTGGTTCCCTAGGGTTAAGATCAAGCTTTCTGTTACCCAACATGAAAAGATTGGTTACCGGTCAAAGGTAGAGTTCGGAATTACATATATCATTGAAAAATTGGTGTATAGCAAGTCTATGTAAAGACCTCGCTTGGGATTGCTTTTGTCCAAACCGATGAGTCAAATCAAAGATCAATGTTTTTAAGATTGAAAATCTTTACCAGGTCAATTACAAGAGTTTGGAATAAGATATTTCAAGGAATCTTAAGGTGTAGCAAGGTTATGTAAAGGCGTCACTCTGGTTTGCTTCTGGGTCCCCTGAAATCAAGTTCAATGTCAAAGTTTTTAATAATTTTGATAATAGAAAATCGGTTGCCTGTCAATAATTTTAAGTTTGGAATGAGACTTATATTGTTCATTGAACGCCGCCTTTCCTTGTTGATCTTGTTCATCATATTTTATAAATCAAACTTATTTACAGTCAACCAATAATGTGAAAGTATTTTGTAAATGAAAATAAGTTAACGGTGTGGTACTCTTTGCAGCAGCTGTTGTTGAAAACTTGCAATACAATGTATCTTGTTTTTTGTTTTAAACCTTTTTGAACATCTAGCTTAAATAATTTTACAATTTTGTAATTCCAAGGTGTTGCCAAAAAGGATTGGCATGATGTTATTTGTCCAAGCAATCGACACACGTTAATTTGAAAGATTTTAGATATGGGAGATTGGGCAAAGAGTAACGAGTGAATTCCTTTTCGTGTTTACATTCTATATAATGTGTTTGTTTATTTGATTACTTGTATGTTTTGTTTATTCAATAGAATATAGATATTTATAATATCAAGCACATTATGTCAACGGTTGATTGATTCAAGCAATCATTAACTTATTGTCTGATAAATCCTCTACGGCGGAATAATCAAAACCAACCGATGAATCGTAACAAATTAAGAGTATTTGTTGTTTTATCAAAACCCGTAATTTCAAGTCTTTTACACTGTTTCGATTCGATGTATAAAACACCATAAAGAATTAATTTAGACCTGCTGACAAAAATAAGTTCTTACATATTACAGTAAAGATTCCGTTGTGCCGCATTTAGATAGTATCAATTTTGTAATTACAGATATCCGATTTGTATGGTTATCATATTCAAATTACAAACTTTCCTGATTGGTCGATTCTTTATTCAGCCGAAGATAAATGCTGAGGACAAATATAGACCACTTTCTGTAGATAACAGGTATATATCTTATAAACGCTGACGACAAATATAGACCGGTAGCTGTAGATAACAGGTATATATCTTATAAACGCTGACGACAAATATAGACCGCTAGCTGTAGATAACAGGTATATATCGTATAAACGCTGACGACAAATATAGACAGGTAGCTGTAGATAACAGGTATATATCTTTTAAACGCTGACGACACATATAGACCGCTAGCTGTAGATAACAGGTATATATATATAAACGCTGACGACAAATATAGACAGGTAGCTGTAGATAACAGGTATATATCTTATTAAAGCTGACGACAAATATAGACCTCTAGCTGTAGATAACAGTAAAGAAAATCCATATTTGCATCAATGTAATGCTTACAACTGAACAACAAGCCTTCAGATTAATCATTTAGTAAAACTTTTCGCTTTTAGTAATTTATTTGTATGTAGCTATACAGTTACATACAAAAAGAGACCATGCTAACTTCTCGATTTGATATGAAAATGAAAAGTTGGTAGAATTTCAACCTGGTTTTTGTTGTTGTTGCTATTTGTTGTTGTTTTTTTACTTTGCTAATTGACTGTACACCAACTTAGTATTATTTAACTAATATTTGATTATTTCTCGTTATTTTTACTTTTGTTAATATCATTTTCATTTCTTTTAGGAATTTTTACGACGTATTAAGCTTCTTCGCTATTTTCCTTAATGCGAGTATTGGACTCTTTACCTTCCTTAAGCGTATTCTGCTTGGTGCATTTTTGGGCGTGTTTCTGATTCCCAGGATGGACAGGAGCCTACTAATGCGGGGATATGAAGCCATGGATAAATGTTTGTACTTTTTCTTTAGTTTTTAGAAAAACCTTGTAATATCTTACGATCATGTTGAATATCAGTGATCATTTTAGTTATGTCATAACAGCAGCCAAAAAAAATATATCATAAGCATTAATTTAACGCTCATCCAATATCTTCCAATATATATGGTTATGTCAGTTTGTACAAGTCACTAACCAAACTAACTAACTTATTATTTTGGATTCGAAAGTGTGTCTATAAGCTTATAGCTTCCTACACAATCGAACTAAAATAAATTATGTATAAACCAAACTAACTAACCAAACTGATTGGTTATCAAACGTTGGTTATATATAATAAACGGTTAGCGTTTAACCCAGGGTTTTTTCCGTTGGATGCATATATTCTATTCTATTAACAGCGACTCGATTCTGTACAAAACGGGATCAAAACAGCCACCCGGAAGAAACATTTTAGATTGTTAATTCTATATTACAGTTAATAATTTGAACAGCGCATTTCTATTCTTAAAATGTACGCTTTAGCGATAGCTTAAAGTTTCATTCTGTTTGAAATGGAAATTGACAAACAATACATGAACAAAAATTATCATAGAAGTAATGTTTAATTTCAGGTTATGTAAACTACATAGGAATGATAATGGTTGATGTGGCACACAATCACCCTGTGATGCGCGTGTTTTGTTTCCTTGTGAAATCTGATGTAGAAAATAGAAGAGATAGAAAACCTCTGCGATCTGCTGTGGAGAACGCTGTGTATGGCAATATAAGCTTCTCAGATCACATTCCAATTGAAACAGGTATGGTTAAAAGAAATAAATGTTAAAAGCGTAGATTGTCAATTTTATTCATGTCATCGTAATTTTCATATTTTGTTTGAACTTATCTTCTTAACTTACTACTGCTGTAAAATTTTGACATATGTTTCTCAATATCAATCACATAATGTTTTCATTTTCATTACTTTCATTACTTGAAATTTACTTCTTATTGCAATATATCACTTTTAAACCATGGACAATATCATGTTATTTTGCATGTGTTTAATCTGTTTTAGGAAACAGCATTGCCAAGAGAAGATGGTGGCTTGCATTGACATTAATCCGGAACCCTTCACTCGTGGCTTTGCGAGTTCGGGAAAGTAAAGGAGAACCCCGGCACAGAGCAACGCTGAGTCTGACGGACATTAAATGCGATGACAAAACAGCTATTGTTGAAAATTCGGCAGACGCTTGGGGATTTTCTATAAGATGTTGCAGAAACTACAAATTTGAGATTCCTTCAAACATTCTCATAAATTTGATGGCTTTGATTGTATTATTATCAGTGCTCGTCATTTATACTGGGTTTCCAATTTTGCTAAAAGATCTGATGAAAGAGGCAGAAGCGCTTGCTTTGGCAACGTAATTAACTTTATATACTGCTGTGTCAACATTGCATGCTCGTACATAGTATTTCTTAAACAATGAGACAAATCACCGATGAGGGTTCATAATTTTCATAAATATACGTTTGTATGAAGTTTTTAATTACCAGTGGTAATTCTACGATATCCAGATTTACTTAAATACTTATACTTCTGTAACATTGTGACTGTGCGCATATACATTTTCTTTTTAAGATTATATTAGATTGATACACATTAAATATACCTATTATATTTTAGTAACTAACACTTTCACTGGGTAGAAACCTATTAACGAGAGATAGAATTACATGTATTTAGATAACTTGCCATTTCTTTTTCTAATAAATGTTTTGGAATTTTTCTGATGATGTTTTTACCAAAGGAGAAAACAGTCGACAAAATAGTTTTTCTATATCTTCACAGCTAGATAATAAGCTGTTAATTTAAAGAGTAATGATAATGTTTGATGTAACATGTAGTGCGCTATCAGTGTAAAATCTATATAAAGGTTATTTTAAACATATCATCGGTGCTTCTTCTTCGAAATCAAGATTGTGTTAGTGGAATTTTGAAATTGTTTGCTTTTCATTTGCCGTGTTTTTCTTTCTGCCAAAATTGACCTTAGATGAACATAAAATGACAAAAGAAATGTAAAATTCTATCTATTCTATATTTGTTCTTTTAAAGATTGACTCTTTAATTGTTTTCAGTAGTAAAACTAATTTCGGCTTACTCATGCAAAAGGTTCCTCACATGTTTGGGTCAAATGCCTTTGAGAGACAAATGATTAAAGGTGAATCCTTATCAATGTCTCAAAATGGAGAACAAAGTCTGTGAACATTTCGTCATCGATGATTATCTGTAAATATAATAAATATATTATTTCGGCTTTTTGTTGTCCTTTTCTGTTGCTTTTGAATATGTTTTTTTTTCTAGTTTTTATATCATTTCAGTAGTCGTAAATTTAACCATTAGCCTAATAGTGGCAGCTGAATCTACCTTAGTTAACCAAGATGTGCCAATACATCTTTTTAAGATATTTAACATGGCGATACAATAAGTGAGTTGCTCGGAAGACGTTGTTGTGATATTTAAGACTTTTACTTTTATTACATACATTACATTATTACATTTTCAGTAGCAATTGAAATAATATTTTAATAATTTCATAGTAGAAAAATAAAATATATACTTTACAGTGGCTGGGCTATATTTAAATGCGGATGAAAAGAATGTTTTATAAGAAACTGGAAAAGTTCAGATAAACGAGTATAAGACGTCGTTAGTAAAACGTGCTACATTACCAGAAGCACACACAAATTCGCACATTTCATGATTAATATGTAAAAAATGCGGAAAATCTTAAAGATTTTGTTTTTAACCAAAGTTATGCAACGTCATGATAAGATGATGTCAACATTTGGGGAGCATGTCGTAACGCGGGAAAACTGTGACATGAGTATAAGCCACTAAGAAAATTGAAAGAAATTTGCATTGTATGTAAGATCAAATCTTATTTCATTTGTTAACACAAGCTACGGTTTTTTTTACATGGAATGTTTACTCTGAAAATATAAAAAGAATATCATGCACGTGTTTGCTATCGACAAAGCCTCCCCATTTTTTTCTTAGCCTTGCCTGATAAATTTTATTGTGTAAGGCACTTGTTTGGTATTATATCAATGATGTTTTAATCATAATCTGCGTTTCTCGTTTAAATACTTTTAAATGATACAGAAATCTTTCAATAACATATCAAGGTTATTTTGCACGCAATAATTTGTAAGTTTTCAGCCATAGTCATTTTGATAGGAAATTGTCCCAAATGATTTAAAAAAATCAGTTGTAATAGAGCATTAAAATTCTAATATTAAAACAGTTTTGCAGTTAAATATCTTTAAAATATTAGAAGGTTCTATTCCTTTCGTTTCAAAATGCATTGCTAATAGGTATGATAAAGCTTGGGATGACAGATAAAGCGACTTTCATCAGATATGCAGTTGATCAACAAAACCATGATAATGCTCGATCTTAATTACATGCAATACAAACAAATATCCTTTATTTTGTGGTAGCTGTTAGATGATGTACTGATATAATATGATCATAAACAATTTTATTTCGCAAAGCAATGTGTAAAATAAATTCTTTACATTAAAATTGCGAACAATTCAACAAGTTCAATTAACACTTCCGACGAAAACTTAACCACCACTACATAGGTGTCTTTTTCATACATCTGGTGGTAAAAATGAGTTTTTTGTGTTTCTATGTTGTTTTGATTTTGTCGACATAATTTGCTCACGATTTCAGTAAATAGGGCCACATGATATTTACTCTCTTGCATTAAAGTGTTGCATGAGCTATTTTGTCTGTCATCATGATGCAACATAACTCTTACAGTTTCTCAAACAAGTGATATATATTCTTCTTGCAAAATTACTAACTACATGAAAGTTTAAGAAGAAATTAGGTAAGGTATGTGGTTTGTCTGACGCCAAATATTATGGACATATAAATGACATTATGTAGCCAAATTTTTAATCACGTGTGTAACCGCCACGAGCCCGGATGATAGCCCCAACCCTTACCCGGCGTCTAATGCGATTTTGAGGTAAAGTTTGCCATTCTTTGTGCAGAGCTTGTTTCAGTTGTTGCATGTTGACTACAGGTGGTTCGTACCAATACCCAGTTAAATTTTCAGTTGCGGTCATTTCAAAATTGAGGTAAAAATTCCGGTTGATGCTATCATCCGGGCACGTGGCGGTTGCACACGGTATTAAAAATTTGCTACATAATGTCATTTTAGGTTACGTTATCGTCAACATTTACCATAAATATCTATCGATAAAAGTTTTGTAAACAACACCATACTTATAAACACTAACATTTTTGGTATAAAACAACACATTTGCTAATGCTTCAATAATTTGGTTAGGAATAAACTACACTTAACAAAAGTTCTAACCGATCACTTTTGATTATTTTTTAACGGGTCAATAGATCTTTATAAAATTTTGCAGAGGTGATTTTTGTGTCATTTTCTACCGATTTGTGGAATGAAAAATAATATAATACGGTTCCATGCACTCACGCGAGAGACTGGGCGCGGTTTACACATTTTGGCACAAAATGTTCGTGCAGAGCGTGGTGAGTATTAAATTTTACATTGCATAAATCCTTGTTAACTTTATAATTGAAAAAACATAAAACATGGCACGAATGTCGATGCAGGATCGTGCTGTAGCAGTTGGAATGTTGAATGCTGGAGTCTCTATCAGACAGGTGAGTGGCTGTTCATAAAAATATTTTTTTTAAAATATCGATAAAGTATTATTCAAATAGAAAATGTTATGATTTTATAATTCTCAATGTGTTCATTCTCTTCGAAATAAAATAAAAGTCGGATCTATTGGTATTATTCTTTTTCATATATAAGCGAAAACTCAGGGTGATCGGTTAGAACTTTTGTTCAGTGTAAACTTATACATGTACAGGTTTCTGATTACTAAATTGGTATTGCTACTTATCAAACTACTATTTCTTAGATTAATAAAATCGTCATCTAATGGCAGTGTTTTTAATCACAACCAATTTAAAATTTCCGGGATGTGCTAACTTTATTTCAAGGTGTATCTATTAACCGACCAGAAATTATAAAATTTTGAAAACGGCGGTAATTGTTTATATTGTGTATGTATTGACATTTAATTAAAATATCAAAATATACATAAAACACACTCTGTAGTAGACCAATGCAAATTGAGAAGATAATTAACAACAATGTTGTTTGACCTTTTATCTGTATGTTCGTATCGACATTTGTATTATAAAAAAACAAGGGGAATATTTTCATTTGGGATCTTTTATAGTACCTTTTGCACATTGCAGATTCACACTTACACTATTTATCGTCCTATTATAAAGCGTTGTGAGACAAAACTACTATAACATCTTGCATATTGCTAAGGACATGGATTATATATATTATGTCTGTGTATAAAAAAAGTTAATCGTAGCAACTGGTTATGATTAAAATAACAATTTTCAATAGGGGATTCATGGTAAAAATAATCATGTCTCAAAAGATACAGTTAAACCTTTTTTATTGAAAATATTCCTTACACCCTATGTATTTTAAATGCACAGGATGATAGGAATTTTCTGATAAATGTTCAAAAATCTTTCAGACAGATAAATATGACCTCATTAGTGTTGATATACATTGAGAGTATTAAATCGAATATTATAATAGATACAAAATGAACGTCCAAAACGGCTAAATTGAAAAAAGTGTCACAGGCTCTGTCTGTTGAGCCTGTTCAGTGACAGTAGTAGTAATTGCAAAATACTGCTCATGCCCCCAAGTGCCGGCTTAAGCGGAATTCAACATTTAAACATGAAAATGGCGAAACCTTGTGTCATTCCACGAAAAGCGGCGAATGGTCGCCATTTAAGAGAATAAATGTACAGAAAACAACCTCCGGATCCTGAGAGAGTCAGAGGCTATGAAGACATACTTAAATTATTCGTAATTAATGTCAGAAAGAATTGTCACACACAGAGTGACATTTTACATATCTAGCTAAACATGTCATTTTATATTAACAAAAGACGATGTTAACCTTCCAATGCGATTCTTGTACTTTAGCATTATTTATAAGTTTGTGTTGCATTGCTTTTAGAATAACAAAGTACGTTGAAATAAATTATTTTAAATGAAGGGAAGGTTTAAAAAATACTTTCACTGCGAAGACAGGTGAACTTGTAGCTAAAGGTTTGATTTTAATGTTTGATGTAAGATTTCAAGCTACCGTTAATGCCTCGTAAAAGGCGACTAAATGGTTTCAATTTCCTTGAGTCTATACATCTCTAAAACCCTGCTGGGGAAGTGGTTTTGATGCATGGTGTTGTTTGGAAGTTTTTAACTCCTGAGTTTAGCCACAATCATCTTGCCTGTTTCGTTTATCGTGCGCCGTAATTCAACCTCACAAGCAATACCAAACTATTAGGTCTTACACCGACTTCACGGCGGCTTCTGATTCTCCTAAAATCGTAATATCAGCCGACGTCGGTATGGTCGCAGTTACAATCGGACCGCAGCACTGAAAGTTTTGCTCATCGGGAAACGAAACGTGCGTACTAAATTATGGTCTTTGTTGCATTTAAGGAGCACCCTTTAAAGGTTTGTCCGACACTACCATATAATTATAGTGCTGTATTTGTCACATACATAACATGTGTATGGCTATAAATCCGTCGAATGAGCGCTTAGTGATTAGCGTATATTTAAAGGAAAATTCATAGCCATATAGTAACATGAACTATTGTCTGATATAACAAAACTACAATCAATTTATGTTTATTCAGCAGTGCACCTATCACATTTTATCAAGAATAAATAAAAACGTATCAGTTTAATCAATTGATTCTGCGTGTCATTGATTTGTTGTGTTTTAAAGTAACTGCCATAAATTTTTTTGACAAATAGTCCCTTTCGAAGTATGATTATACCAGAGATGAGTTTCCTTTTTGAAATACTTTTATTCTATTATTAGAAATTATTGAGGGTATTCAAAAATGTGAAATTTCCTCTTCTTGTTTTGAAAATGTATTTTTCAAATAATCCACAGCAAAATGCATCAGTGCTGCACCAGGGCTTGTGCAATTTACTCATCTAGGGTTACACTGTAAACAGTAAACGCTAAATCAATAAACTAGAATATATACAACTGCTGAATTTTACAGTACCTGAAAATTAAATTGTTATGACCAGTCTTTTTTATAAACGCATATTTCATAATACACGACTTATATTAATTATAATTTAATAATTATTCTGTCTGATCCTTGTGAATAATTAAATTATAACTTCTAACATTGAGGGG